GCTACACCTCAAGTTGTAATTAAGTAAAACAGTTAACTTCTTTCGTCACACCCATTGGTGGTTTCTTTGGGGATCAACGGATTTGAATAGTAAAGCGAGGAAGTTACACACAAAGACTATCAAGTAAGGAGCACTGGAACTGAAAGTTAAATAAGGGAAAACCTTAAACTGTAGAACCCTAATGAGGGTTCTGCTGTGACATTAAATTATAAATATTATATTGTAGCATCATGTGATCTATTATATTTATTATGGTTTCCGCTAACAAAATCTAAGTACAGATATACTACATGTTAAAAGCTTATAGATTTCAGCCTTTTGATCATCATCAGGTATTGTAAATGTACTGTATCTCACTTGCTTTTTTTTTTTCACAGCACTGGCTAATGTTTAAATATGAAGTATAAACACGACACCATCCTGTACTACAACATGACACAAAAACTACACCACAACCAATTCAACAATTTTATATTTGTCAATTAAACTAAGGCATTTTAACTAATAATAAATATCCCAATTACATAGTTAACATCTTAGTATTTTAATACTGTAATTAAGATAAGTACAAAGGCATTACACTAATATATAAATGACCAATCATGGAAAACAAACTCACATGTAAATACTGGCCAATATAAAGAGTAGATAAGGTAAAAGCACACGCACAATTATCTGATGATAATCGAAAGGCTGAAACATACTGCAAACTTTTAATGTACTGCATATCTATACATAGATTGTGTTGACAGGTATCACAATAAATACAAAATGAAATGTTTCCACTGCACTGAAATCCTTCCATGAATTCTATGTTCTCCCCATAAAAGTCTCAAACCTGTTACACTTTTGTGGCCCACACAGCATCTGTGAAAAGGAACCACTGTTTATGTTAGTAACTCATACAAAGACTTCTACTAAGCATTAGGCTAGGATACATTCAGAAACAAAGAAATAATTAACCAAACATTCCATGCAGGTTAACATGTTCTTTTCTAATATGGCTGTTTCAACCTCAGATTGTAGCCAATGACACTACAAATAACATACTATGTTAGACTCTAAACACTCTAAAAGAGTACCAAGTGTCTTTACAATTACTGCAAAAATCTCAATGTTAAGTGATACAAGCCAAGAATTCCACTTGTGGGTGGACCGTGCTTGACTTTCAGGATAGAAAATTGTGTTGATGAGTTCAAATGACATTAGAAGGTTTGAAAATGGCCATTACTCCATGAAAAATGTTTTCATTCCCCCAGAATTGTAACAGTTATTAAAATGCACATCCTTGCACAATCATAGCATTAGTGTAATCAAAAAAGCCCTTCTGTTAATTAATGGTTGCTGCGGTGGATAGCTTGCAATTACTAAGAATGTGTAATGTGTGTATGTGCATTAAACATCCCATTCTACTAAGCAAGTATAAAACTTTCATAACAATATGGACAATTCTGACAGTTCTGCTTTAACCTTTAAGGGATAAATGTCCAGTATATCAACACCCGACTGACTTGGCAAGTGGCCAAATGTCCAATATATCAACACCCGACTGACTTGGCAAGTGGCCAAATGTCCAATATATCGACAGTCTCACTCTCACATCTTCTTTTTGAGAAGCCATTCTAGCGCCCTGGGCGTGCGCTTAGCCCAAACAAAGCACAGAATTTAACTCTGCAATGTTTCAACATTATCTTTGTATAAACAATTCATTTATCAAATTTATTTTCCTGTGCATACAGCTGTTCTAATCAGTGCAACAATTTGCTGACACTCTGAACCCAGACAACAGATAGTTTTCTTTCTCATTCCCTTCCTGGCAGTACAACTGCTATTCAAAAATAATAAATATATATTGGGACCTAAAATATGTGAGGGGAAATGAAAATTGCTTATGATTAGGTTTACATCACACTTGTCAGTAGCGGACTGTTACCACCCTTTGTAATTCCCTTTGCACATGGACATATGAAGCAGTTCTACGAGCAGGAAAGGAGAAGTGAGGAGGGGATAGTGTTGCTGCTGAACAAGACATTCCAGTGTTCAGTGTTGGATTCAGTTTGTCCCTATGCTTCTTTCTGTTTTCACACTCAAATGCAGTCACTAGACCAGAGATCCACAAGATCCACATTCAGTATGGCAGGACCCTCGAAATGTGCTCATAATACGCTGACATTGACTCAGAAGAAGAGCTCTTCAGGATCCAACATCTGCTGAAGAAAATGATGAAGACTTAGAGTGGCACCACCAATTTTCATCTGATAAGACAGATGTGCACCAGTTTGTAGGAAAAAAAAAATGGGCTGAACAAAATAGCTGCTACCAATATTACAGAAAATTTCACAACCTTCTGAGTTCTTCTTGCTGTATTTTCAGGCCATTTTGGCAGTAATTGTAGAAGAGACAAACCAAAATATGCAACAAGATCCACAAGCAAGAAATAAACCAGATATTCCATATTCTCAGCAAATAAGTGTAAAGGATCTATATGCATTTCTTGCAGTTATAGTTCAGAGAGGTCATAACCACAAGCCCACTATGAGGCCATGGTGGACCAAAGACAAACTCTGCCACATTCCTTTCTACTCCAGTGTGATGATATATGATTATTATCTCATGGTTTTGAAATATTTGTATTCCATGGACAAGCAGAACCCACAGAAACAAGACAGAGATGATCCCAGTTATGGTAGATTATGAAAAATCAGACAAATATTTTACATTCTAAATAAAAAATTTTCAGAACTGTATCATCCAACGAATATATGGCAGTGGATGATGTAATCATGAAATTCAAAAGGGAAGTAGTCTTTCAGCAGTACATTAAAAAAAACAGTAAAAGATATGGCATGAAAATGTATAAACTTTGTGACAGATCTGGTTATACATATGACATGAGGGTGTACCTTGGAAAATAAAGAGACATGTCTAGCACAGATGCTGCATCTACACATGGAATGGTACCGGAACTGTTCCGGAAAGTGAAGGAGTTTGACATAAAATATTCATGAATGATTATTTCACGTCACTGAAACTTTTCAGTCATCTACAACACAGGAAAATAAATGCATGTGGTACAGTTTGTCACAACTGGAAGGTGCTGTCACCTAATTTCAGTCCTAAATATCTATGATTGTAAAGAGGAGACACTGCATCCAGACTATGGGGGAATCTAAGGGCTGTGTGTTGGAAGGACAAATAAGAAGTGTTATGTGCTTTCTAATACGCACATTCCACCTGTGGAAGGTGGGAAAGCTATGAAGCTTCTGATTATCAAAGACTATACAACCCAAACAGGTTACACAATGGTGAACAAGTACAGCATAAGCTAGAAAACCTGGAAATGGACAGAGAAACTCTTCTTCCATTTGTTCAACCTAACCATTCTGAATAAGTCTTGTGTGGGAAATATGACCCATTTAAAAATTTTTGGAACAGCTGCTTAGGGATTTCATTCTCTCCCACAAAGAGAATACTGAAAGTCAGAGTGTGCTAAGGGGTCAGCCCAGCAGTTCGGAGATTCAAATGAACCCACCTGCAGTACAACTTTCTCTGCACTGGCAGGCCAAAGGAAAACAGCAATGTTGTGTGCCAAACGAAAAAAACAAAGCCAAAAAAAAAAGTCTACTACTGCAAGAAATATGACTGTAGTCTGTGTTGTACCATGCTTCAAACTGAGGCATACCAAAATCCAGCTGTGGCTGAAACTTATATCTGATAGGTGCTGGGTGTGTCAGATGATCTACAGCAATGAAGCAAACCTGTCCTCCTGTCCAGTGTAGTGTGTGTGATGAAACTGCATCTTTTGTGAATGACGATCTAGTCCTACAGTCCACGCAGAAATATACGAACCATTATTAGGAATTATGTGAAATATGGGGTTGGACCTGCAAATGTAGCTTGGACAGGCATCAAAAGAGAACATAGTCACATTTTTATGGAAATATTCACTTTTTAAGTTCATAAATTTTCCGCAGGTACTTGTTTTTTGGAACAATTTTATAAAACTAATGCAAATAAACACATGGAATTCAGCTAAAAAAAATTATAAAACACTTTTTCAAAGTACGAAGGCTTTCATTCCTCTATAATACAATTTTTTATTGAGATACGTAAATAAACAGCAGTGATATTTACTTTTTACTTGTCTGGTGCAATTATAATTTAAAACTACCAGTTTTAATTCTGTGTGCCAGGCAAGACTTTAAATGTCCTGTACTTAAAAGGTTAATAAGTGATGTCATACCAGACATGAACAGCAAGTCAGTCAGAGGAGTCCATTTGTTGACTGGTTTTTCTCCCAAGCAGATATAATTCACATATTGTGAAATCCTTTCTTCTACGCTACCAAGCATTTGACAATTTCTATCCCCTACACCCATAGCCTGCAACATTTCAAACTGCCATGCTGGTTTGGGGAAATAAATGTCTAGTCTACTACTTTGCCTGCTCATCTAACAGTGAGACCTCGTTCACTAGCACATATTCTTATATAATTCTATGAATTCATTTAGTTCTCACTAATACAATCTCTATAGTTTAAACTGTTACAAAACGAAATATTAAATATTACAAAAATTTGTGTGAAATAAAAGAAACTACATTATTCAGGCCTTTGCAATCTCTTAAAAATAAAGAGCGCATGAAATGTCACCCGACAGCAGGGTGAACTGGGTACAGCAAAGGGTAATGAATTTTTATCTCTTTTCAGGAGATAATGCCCTTGAAGTCATGTTGTTATAAAATATTTAAACATTTAAAATAACAAAAATATATTTTTTTTGGAAGTTACATAGGCATATTTAAAGCCTGGCAGCATTTCAAAATAATTTTTGCACTTTCAAATACTGCACTGTAACAACTTCCGAAAGCAATGAACAATTTTTTAATTAAATGACTGATATTTTCTAAAATGGTACGAGGTTTCACTGTAATCAGGACCTACATGAAAACTGGGATGAGAAAGAGGACGGGGGCATCAGCTAATGATGATGAAGTCTTACCGTTTCTTGCATCTGCATTAGCAGCATGTCATCTTTATTTGGGGAGGAGGTTGGTGTTGCTTCACGACTCTCATTCTTACTCTTCGTCATCACGGGAACGTTGTTTTCGTAGGCTGTGAGAACGCCGTCGCGATTTTTCCAAATAGTTGCGACGGTGGAACTCGCTAGCCCTAACTCACGGCTAACGTCCGATTTGCTTTTCCCACTCTCTATTTCACGAATGATGTGCATTTTTTGTTCAAGTGTGAATGCAAGCCTCTTCCGACCCTGTGGCAGGCAAAAATGCCAGTAACACTAATGTTGTGGCAACACAAGTGAAACTTGGCAGAAAGGAGATATGTTTTGCCATCAACATTAGCTACCTCCTATCTAATATCTGCATGTGATCTGTTTACTGCTGCAAAACATGTTATTCCAATCCCCTCATCACCATGATTCATAAAACAGTCTACTAAAATGAAAACACAAGTAACTAATACAAATGATTTAGAAAAAAAACAACAAAAGACTAACTTCCTGGCAGATGTGGCATTTTCAGTGACATTAACATCCTCTGAACTAAAACAGATTATTATTTCTCCCATCAGCCTTTGCTATAACCATCACCCACAAAAATCTTCAATGTAAGTATTAAAATTACATCACATGATATGCAGTTTATAAAGACACATGACACATGGATGAAAGACTCTAAGTTAAACACTTACACACTATATAGTACACCACCTTAATAAGCTGTATCAAGCTACAGAACATCTTCATTTGTAAAATATATACACACACACACACATTACTGAACCCTGAACCAACTTTACTACTGAAGAAAGCAGTCTTCTGGGATTTGACACCGTGTATATGTGGTGTTAACCGACGTTTCGGAGGAACGTATCGCCTCCATCTTCAGGGTAGAAGAAAAAATATAAGAAATCTGCAAGCAAAGAGACTGGTACCGGTTCTCACAGTCTCTTCGCTTGCAGATTTCTTATATTTTTTCTTCTACCCTGAAGATGGAGGCGATACGTTCCTCCGAAACGTCAGTTAACACCACATATACACGGTGCCAAATCCCAGAAGACTGCTTTCTTCATAGTCACCACCGTGAAAGCCTCAAATCTTACAACTTTACTACTATTTTCTACACCAAGAAAATTGATATATTATCGTTTCTTGCTAATCAAATTCTAATTTACATATTTCAATTTATGCATTAATTTAGACATAGCCAAGTATTGGCATAATGGAGTAATGGCCTTTAAAACCTTAATTATTCATAACTGTAATTCTCATAGCATGAATTACACAATCAGATAATTTAGATACATAAGCTCAAATTTCCCCACCTCACATTTGAATATTAATAAACAGAATGTCAAATATGAATCAATAATTTGCTACATCTGCATGTACTGCAGAAAACCACAGCCAAGCATTCTACCTCTGCAGATCACCAGTTCAGAAATCTATTTTAGCAAAGATAATTCTGAAATTAACACAAAGCTTCAGGTTCTTGGAGCTGTTCAATACTTATCCAGCTACATTCGTCCCACATTTCGCTATAAAGTCTGTTACCACAGATTCCCACAAAACAGTGGCAACAAGTACTGGGCATACATGACAGAAATCCGTATGTGAGATGTGTGTGCTGTTACTGATAGCCTACTGTTCAGTCATGGGCACCAACAGGACTTCTTCCAAGGGAATCAGCCAGAAAATTTGTTTAAAAAGTTACATTTAAGCTGTTTAAGGCTAACTAATGGACCCAGAGTAAAAAGTGGGTGCTTTCAGTTCTGGCCTAAATTTAGTTTGCGCTGTTTCATGTAAGTAAACCACCCTGTGTAGTGGTGGCAGAACAGAATGCTTCAAGTGATAACTTGCAATGTTACAATGAAGATGGTGTCATAGTGTGTTGTCATTTTAAATGTCTTTTGCTGTTTCACAAATATCTGTTAAAGAAGAACCATAACTTTTTCTCACTAGACCATTTAGTTTCACTGACTGTGCCATTGCATTCAGGATAGAAAATCATTTTTCTTTTTAATAAATTAATTTTTGGAAATCATATTTGGTACAGCTCCTTTTCCCCTGTACCAATTTTGACTCTCCCTGAAAAAATGGGGTTCAGATGATGCCCACCAAGCATTCAGTTCCATCTTGGTTTTCTGTGTTTACCGCTTTTACTGCATGTCAGTGCAGTGATAGCAGTCACTTCAAAACATAACTTGAAATCCAAGTTCAAATTCATAATGAAAAACTTTTCACTCTGGTGAAATGTTATCATGACACAATTACAAAAACTACAAATGTAACAGCATGAGAGATTATTTCCCACATAACAAATCTCCAATTAAATAATATGAAATTCTATATTTTAGCTACAATCCAAGATGAAGACATACCACCTAAGTAATAAAGCTTGCAACAACATAATTATTAACCAAAATCATCCCTGTGCACACCTTGTTAATCCAAAATGTAAAAGGGAGAAATCTGTACTATACATCTAATACGAAACAGAAGAAAACACTAAAGTCAAGGCATTTTGGAAGAAGACAAAGCAATTTAAACAAATTAGCTGAGAGCTTATGGTTGTAGCACCATGTTATTTTGAGTTTATTAACAAATAACAGTGGACATAAAACACTAACAATTATACAATCTTGTCATAAAAATCATAAAACTCTGCACTTCAATGACCATTTAGTTACCAACAGAAGGGTATACTCATAAATAGAATTTTTATATGCACAGAGAATGTCTACAGTTTACACGCACTACCATCTTGACAGTATACTGAATCAATAACAATCGATTTATAAATTAACCGCTTCATCTGCTTCCACAACAGTGTCGACGGACTTGTATATGACTGCCTCGCAGTGAATGTTAGACTGAATGATATTGTTAAGTTCGTAGACGTCTTTGTTCTTGGCCGCAAGAATAGCTCGTTCACTCTTATAACTGGTTTGAATATTGGGAAATACTTTTTCAACCAATTCTTCTTTTGATGTCACTAAATTGCAGAAGTTATGAGGCAACGAAATTCGTCCTGAGGTCAGATCAACCAGCACCTTTCCGTTCCCAATTTCCTGCAATTGATGTGAGAATATCTCAGCTGATCGATCGTTTTGCAGCTGGACACGCATATTTGTAGTTAATTTTAACATCTTTACGTGTCACCACAAAGTAGAGTATTTCAGGCAAGCATTTATTTCATCTGCTGGTGTCGATCGAGGAATTACAGGTAATGTTTGCCTGAAATCTCCTGCAGGCAATATTAATGCGTTCCCAAATGGTCTGATGTCTCCATGCAAATCTTGCAATGATCGATGAAGAACCTAGAGCGATTTTTTGTGTGCCACTGTGCATTCATCCCAAACAATAAGTTTGCATTTCTGCAATACCTTTCCATTGCCTGATCCTTTGGAAATGTTGCACGTGGGAGTTTCAACGAATTGCATGTTCAATGGCAATTTCAAAGCGGAATGAGCAGTTCTTCCACCCGGTAGCAATGTCGCAGCTATTCCAGACGACGCAAGAGCTAAGGCTATGTCATTTTGGGATCAAATTGCTGCCAGAATCAATCTAATTAGGAATGTTTCCTCCTGGCGCATCTAAGAAGAAGAAGAATTCTGCAACCCCGTTATTGATAGTTTGCATTATTTGATCGTAAATGCCTTTTTGCTCAAGCGTTAGCTTAGGAATATTTGACTGCACATATGACAAAAGATCACCCATGTTGTAATTTTGTTCACGACACAACTCTACATTGAACGAAGCAGCAGCAGATCGATTTGGTGATGGCATTCCCAATTGATTGAGAACTTTATTCGCGATTTCTAAGCACAGATCTTCAATCATTATCAATGCTTCGTTGCAGATTTCTGCTGTGAAATCCATGTTCATATTGGAATTTTCCTTGCGTATTCGACGGAAAATATCTTCAGTCATGTGCGATTTATATTTCTCCCATAACTCTGTTGGAGATGAAGGAGAGCAGGCGGTCAATATGATTGCAAACAATGCACGAATTTGATGTGGATGTGACGTGTTGCACGCGTCAGTAATGCATGTAGCGTGTTTGGGTATGTCACGCTACAAATAACTTTACGCCGTATTAATTATAGCGAATCTTTATTGTAATTCACTTCACACTTTACAATTATCGCCACTTGCAGTATTAGAGTTACTGGTTACACAATCTCTCGGGGAATACTTCTGTATCTCTTGGCGTCTAGGTTCCAACCTTCTTCAGCGGCAGCTATTCCAAGACTGACTGGGCGAAAGAATTCAACCCCCTTTTATACCCTCGGCCGCTGCTATGCAAATGAGCCTTTGTCATAACTGCGGAAACGCTGCTTTGTTGACTCTGTGATTCCTACGCAATGACCCATTGTTATTGCGTTGTCTCTGTGGGAACGCTCCGTGTATTTGTTGTAACCGTGGAGATACGATACGGTATTGCTATTGTTACTTCCTATGCAATGGTCTGTTTTAGCGTTTCCATAGGGGTGACTCTTCTGAATTCCAAATTCCAATTCTGTTTTTCAAAAGAAGCATGTTTTTACCTGTCACAGATGTGACATCTATATAATAGGTATATAAAAAAGGCGCACATTCGAATGCAACGTTGTGTCAAAATTTCGAAGCAATCGGTGAAGAACTTTCGGAAATTTAAGATCCTGAACAAACGAAAATTTACATTTTTATTTATATAGATATATAACCTTGAAAATGTAAATTCTAACAGATCCACAATTATGCACAAAACTCCCTAAGATGACCTAACACAGGATGAAACACATTAGGCTAGAAATAAATTCTGATTATAACATGTGATAGTATTATCTATATACAATAAAAATGATGGTGATGCTGTGTCTGATTCAGGTAACAAAGCACACAGCAAGCACTCACTGCAGGCAATGTTAATTCTGCTACTATGCAGATCAGCTAACAAAAATTACTACTCTGTCAGGTGTCAACACATTCATGAAAAATGCTTATGTAGAATAGCATTAGGAAACCTGTATTTTATATTCTTTTTCAGTACCGGACATTACAATTGGATTGTGTGTATGCTGAGCCCCTATTAATGAAAGTACTTGGGAGCTGGGATAGTGCAGTCGGTACAGCAACTTCCTACAGGCCGGACGATCAAGGGGTCGGAGTTTGAGTCCCTGTAGGGTCAAGAATGTTCTCTTCTCCACTCCATCCAGACTGGCTCTGGGGCCCACCCAGCCTCCTATTTAATAGGTATTGGGAGGCTCTTTCCCCAGGGGTAAAGTGGCATGGCTGTGAAGCTGACTACTCACCTCCATCTACTACCAAGGTCAAGAAGAGCAGAGCTATACCTCCACTACATCATACATCTTCATGGTGTCATGAATAATTAAGCACAGGAAAAAGTTTACCTTTTACCTACATCTACATCTTCCTATTGGTCTCTTTATTTCTGGCTTTCCAATCCTATACTTCCCTTGGGAAAGAAATGAAGGACAGAGTTGCTAAAATCCCTGAGGAGTGCAGAAGTTCAGTCTCTACTTTTTGGATTAACAAGGCCAGTACATACGTTACCAGCTTTCAACACCAATGAGGTGAGGGTCTTACTTCTCACTGAAAAACAGTTACTGCATTACTTACTGAATGGTTGATAAACTACAAGTGTCATCACGTTACCTCCATCATCTGCTGGTTACGCTGCTCCCGTTCCCGTCTGATTGCTTCCTGGCGTTCAGACCGCTCTTGTTCCTTCAGAAACCTTCAACACAAAACACAGCGCATGTTAATGCATATGGCCAGAGGGTAGGCATGCTGGCATAGGTGGGACGGTCGATTTTGGCCTGTGGATCTCTGATGCAGAGTGGTCTGACGCAAATCGGCAAGCCTAAGATTGGTGAGCATGCGCAGCGCCACTATGTTGCCTCAGTAAGAAGGTAGACATTTAGCTCATAGGATCGCTGTTATTAGTAGAAACTGTGTGCTTTTCCCACGTGCCAGTTGCCAGTGCAAGCCTACGAATGTTCTGTCTGCAGACGAAGCAAGTTCGTAACACAGACTCTCTCTCACACGCTGACAGTGAAGGACACCGGTCAAAAAGTATCGGCAGGCTTATATGTCAGGTGATGCACTGGAAAGGTATCCAGTTCAACTCGTCTGCAGAACAGACATACAGTCTTGTACAGTGCCTGCAAGTAAATGTTGAGGCAGTTCCTTAACCTTTCCACATGTGAGGATTTAAATCCCAGCCCTTAACTTGGTGTGGAAGGAGTTTCTTTTGATATTTTAAATTCAGACATGCCAAATAACACTGACTGTTACTTCCTCATCATAAGAATCAAATTTATTGTCTGGAGAATAAGAAACATCATGCAGTTTTAACATCTTCATTATTCACACTTGATAAACGTTTGCTAGCCAACAGAATGCCTGCTAAGAGCTGATTTACAATCTACATTTCCCAGACCACTTACTGAAGAATGACACACATTTGATGCCCAATGTACCTTTCCACTGTCCTATGATTTTGACATAAATAAATAGAAGAGGCAATATATTGTCACGTGTTGGGTAGGTCACGCGACAAATAACTTCACGCCATATTGGATCAAGCAAATTTATTGAACACTTGCTCTCACAATTACCTAACTACTGTCATCAGCAGTATCACAAATACTTCTCCTGTAGTCACTGCCATGCACTCGATACAAACCGACTCGGTGACTGCTAGATTGCAACTGACCGGTTAATCGTTACTCGCTAGCAACTCACTCACTCATAACTGGCTCAATCCTCACTACTGAATAGTGTTCGCTGCTCCTTATTTAGCCTCAGCACGGACAACACAGAAAACAGTTATGTGATAGGTACCACTGTTGCATAACATCATGTTTACCGATTGTCTAGCAAGAGTCACTGCATGGACTCCCCCATTGTGTGACATCACAACCTAGCGGGGAGGGGTGTTTACCGAGCGTTGCGTAATGGTGGAAGGAGTGGGGGTGTGTGACGTCACTCGTGAGAATGCAGAGTTCACGTGACCCCTACTTCCTGTTGCGCCATTCATGTCACAATATGTATATTTTCAAATTTTTATACTGAACAATCAAACAGTCTTCTGAACACATGCAAAGAATTTTACTGTTGATGATAATCAAATACAGTTTCTTCACAGCTGAATTTATACATCTACACATGTGTAAATGTATATTTAATTAAAATATTGTGACATGTTGCGCTATGGATGACGCCCCCCTCCCCCCGCCAGCCGTGACGTGCCGAGCGAGCCAAGTCCAAGCATGCTGGTCGCTATGCAAAGCAAGTAAATAGTGGTTGCTAAGCAAAGCCAGTCAAAACCCCATCTCTCCTCGCGGTGACATAACACAGGACGCCAGAGTGGCTACTTAGCCATAAACAACTCCCAACAGCGTTGCTATGCTACCGGCAAACACGGCGACTAGGCAACAAGGAAGCGAGGCGTTTCCCGTTGTCCGGCTGAGGGTTTATAGGGGAACTACACAGCCGCCGAAGACAGTTCTCAAGGCAGCAGCCTACGAAGTTAGTTAGTCAGCAGTGAACGAGTTAATGTGTAGCGGCCGCCAAAGACAGTTAAAGTGTAGTAGCCTACGAAGCAATTGGAGTATAGCAGCAGTCGTGGAAAGAAGAACCAACCGCGCGTGTAATTGTGTAATTGGGTGTGTGATACAGAGAGACTTGTATAGCACCCGTACTCTGAATACATGTAGACTACTGAGGACAGTGTGAAGAGATTTGTGTGTAGGGTTTGTAAGGTGTGGAAATCCGTAACATTGTTATAATTAATCGTAGCTGAGACTTGTAGGTTGTTAAATAAACCAATTAACAATCCGAACAGTGTCGTCAGTAACAAACACGTTACAATATAATTGAATGTGCTGCTATTAACTTACTGATAGTTAAACTCTGCGTCTTTCAAGACAATGACATAAAGTAAAACACATACTATGCATTTCAGTACTAATTACACTACCAGAGTTAAAACCAGCTTTCAGTCCTATCTTATCAAGATATATAAAAACCCCATTCCTAGACAAAAATAGGTTACTTTATCAATCAAAACCACTGTATTAAACACTGAGTGAAGTAGTACTCTTAAAGAAATTAAAGACTTAATGGAAATGGATATCCTACATGAGATTCTGAAACATCTGTACTTGCAAATGCTGAAACTGAAGTTATTGACTGAACTGACATCAGCTGCAGTTACTAGAAGTTTTCTGTTAACCCAACTGCTGGCATATTCTACTGAAGTCAAACTAGCATACATTGCTGCAGAGTGCAACATTTAACTTTAGTCCACATCAACATATTGTGACATGTTGACCCCTACCTCCCCAGCTGCACGTAGCGGTAACGTAGCGCTCGCGTAATAGGTGAGTAATCACCCTGCAACTCCCCCCGCGGTGACATCATGAGCGGCGCCGAGCGAAGCCGAAGTGAGCCGAAGTTAGCAGAGTCCTAGCATTCTGGTCGCTATGCAAAGCGAGTCAACAGCGATGACGTCACCAAGGGCAGCACGGGTAAACAGGATTGCGAGAGACGATGGTGGTAACAGCGGTTACTACTGCTAGCGTTACTAGCAACACAGCGCCAGGCAACAAGGGTGCTTATTACGTGGCCGTTTTCTGTATTGTCCGATCGAGGCTACATGAGGCGCAGCGAAGGCTATTCACAGTCAGTCCTGGAGCTACCTACGAGTTAGTCCCCGAGCTACCTCCGAGTTAGTTCTGAGTTAGCCAGCAACCAGTCAGTTGTAACGTGGCATTTAAAGTGTAGTATTTGTGATACTGCAGATAGCAGTAGTTCTAAAACTGTCAATTGTGTGATTGTAAGTGTGAATGTGAAATAAAATTCGCTATATCAAATACGGCGTGAAGTTATTTGTCGCGTTATATGCCCAATACGTGACAATATAATAATCTCCTTTCACTGAATCATTCAACTTCATTTACTGCGCTATGTAAATGCATTTTTGTTACATTTTTCATATTTTTACCTTAAAATTTCATTACTTTGGGAAAATGTTGAGAAAATAATGTGCAGTGAAAGGGACTATCATCATGGTTCAAAGCACATTGCATATAAAATGATGCTTATATATTTAATACGAGCCAAAGCAATATGTTACCTAACATGTTCTTTCTGTCTGGCTGCTTCTTCCTTTGCCACCCTTTTGGCTTCTTTGGCAGCATGTGCAGCCTTTTCTCGTTCCAGCTGCTGTTGCAACTTCTGCTCCTGAGTCGCCTTGCCTCCTTCAGGCCTAAAACAAATTTACAGTTTCCAAATTCAAAGCAAACATATTTCTTCTAAAATATTTTTTTTCAACTTTTCAACATAAATAAAAATAATATGCCACTCACAATATTCTCAATAAAAAAAAAATTTAAAATCCTGCATCAAATAACATAAACTAGGGCTGCCAAACTTGCAGACATCCAACTGAGTTTGTGTGGCCTCCGAGTATGTCTCTCCCTCATCCAACCCCAACACATGGTAACACTTCCCTTCTCCTCAAAAAAAGGGCCAGTACATCTTGACAGAAAAATGTTATAAAAAGTGCTCACCAAACATTCCATCTAATTTTTAATTTCATTCTGGAAAATACCCAACAAATAATCTAGAAAAATAAGGAACTACTATGACTTCATGATATGATTTCTAAGCACTACTCGATGTGGCACATATCTGTAGCCATATGCTGAAAAAAATAGTTTTTATAACATATCTCGATAGCATGTGGCTGGGAATAAGACAGCCCCTCAATGGTTTGAAGTTAGACGCCATAATAAACAATACAAAATAAATTCTTTCTAGCAGACCATATTATACCATTATTCCTTGTTTAAAACATTTCTGCGGGTATGTCATACCTTGAGTAGGCAAACATGACAGAAGGAAAGTCCTGTATGCTCCACTTGATCTCTGGCATGGCATCTCTGGTTCCCATTTTAGGTACAGAATACAATCTAGTAACTTATTAATCATGACATAATGATCTATGTCACATACCCTCAAAGATATTTTAAACAAAGGAAGAGCAAAGTTGTTAAAGAGAACATTACCAAAGCAACAGTTATCAATCATCTGCACACACATTCCAGTTTTTTTGCCTACTTTCCTTATTTAGAAATAAATAAAAGGAGGCTTACGAGATCACCTTGCTGTCTGTGTATCTCTCTGTGTCTATACATCCACACTATTTTTTTAGGGGGAGGAGATTATAAGGCTTATGAGATCACCTTGCTGTTTGTGTATCTCTCTGTGTCTATCTATGCACACTATTTCTTTTAGGGGGAGGAGATTATGAGATCACCTTGCTGTCTATGGTTCTACGTGGCTTACTCTAATTTTTTTTTATTTTCTATGCAGTCCATGTCATATCAAAGGAATTAATTAGCATGGTGGCCACTGATTGGCCTATTGCACCTGCCCCAGGTGATGATGATGATGGAGAATTTGGTGGAATGAAGATGGGCAGGGGTAACCGAAATACTCGGAGAAAACCTGCCCGAGTGCCACTACATCCACCACAAATCCCACTTGACCAGACCGAGGATCGAACCAAGGCCGCCATGGTGGGAACCCAGCAACTAACTACTTGAGCTATGGCATGGCTATATCAAAGGAAAGTAGGCAACTAGTTCTTCCCAGAACTTCTTGTATGACTCTGTTCATTTGGCCACCTTAGATTCAGGTCTGTCTACACTAAAGCAAAGGCAGTGTTTCTGACCTGTGTGAGCCTGACTGCGATTTCAAACTTCTTGACAGTTTCAGCTCCTCCAGACGTTTCATAACTTGCTCTTCAGATAATCTGACACACTCCTCACCCACCGTTGGTTGCAGGAAGTCACCAAGCAGCACTTTGGAACTAAAGCTGAAGTTCTCCCGGTTCATGTCTACAATGTTATTCTTCTCCAAGAACTGAAGAAAGAAAGAAAGAAATTAATATTAAGTCATTAGAAAGATACAATACAAAAAACATAACCTTATATCATAATTATTAACCATGTAACCAGCATTGCGATAACAGAACTGTGGCGATTACTGTATTTAAACAATTGCAGTGTTTCAGCAGCTGAAATTTTCCACAGAATCATAACTTGACAGATACTATTAGTAATGTGCAAACTTCCAAACAAAGTCTGCATGCTTTTTTTTGCTGACAGGTTATGAATATATGGTGTTTCACCACCAATCCCCTACACATCTCCATGGTGAGATGTATATGTACAGGGACATCTTTACTTTTCATCTTTTTATAAAGAGCAGAAAAATACATATAACTCAATGTAATACTCACCCTGATGACATCTGGGTACTGCTTGAAACGTCGTCCACATGGGGAGTAGTATGTCACTTCTCCTTTCACAACACCAGTACAGCTAACTCCATTGATTACTGTTTCCCTGCGCCAGCCATGCTCCAGCGGAATCCGCAATTCACGTTCATCAACTTCCAATTTTCGACGCTTTGCAGTTGGACCTGCAAGTCAGAGTATAATCACTGTTAAAGTCAGGTTCCTGGTTATACAAGACAGAAAAAGAGAAGTACTTTCAAAGTGCAAATAATAAAACAATACAAAAAAACAACAAACTCCGTGATTTTAGTCTGCAAGTGAACTATACCAAATGAGCAACCGTTGCTTGTCAGCAAAGTTAGTGCCAACTTCAGCGGATAGAGGGTGTCGCATAGTCAGCAAAACGAATCCCAACGACCATTAATCTCAGTTTTCTACACCAGAGCAGCTATTTCCTTGAAACAGCTCCTCAATTATTCTCACGAGGCTAAGCGAACCCCGTTCCAGACTCACTACTTCTCAGAAAATCTGGCAGAGCCGGGACTCGAACCCAGACCTCTGGATCTGTAGCCAGGAACTGATCACTAGACCACAGAGGCAGCCCATGTAAACAATAACCGATTAAATATATTTTAGGATATTTCAACTTCTCTTAGTGGTGGGTATGAAGAGTTCTAGCTTCTGCAATATAATACTGCGTAGTCCACTGAAAATCAAGCAGCACGTTTGGAAGGAACATTTCACTCCCATCTTCAGGATAGAAGAATAAGCAAAGCATGAAACCAGTAAGAAAAAGGCAACCTGCAGGTTACATCCCAGAAGACAGAACTTGTTTCAGTTTTCACTTAAATCTGAGAGGTGACATTGTGAAGTCTTGCATATGGGTACCAGAATTTCCAGAGGAACCTGCTGTTTCCATCTGCTCTCCCATCCAGAACATACAACTCTACTTAACATGACATTACTAACATCTTACAATGATCTTAAATTAAACCCAGTTATTGTAATTTGTGTATCATGGTGATACAATTTGTTAACATACACACCTGTGTCATCTTCCCCCTCCCTCTTCATGCCCCCTTCAGACACCTCCCCTCCATCCTCACTGTCACTGGGGAAACCTTCTTCAGATCCAGAGCCTGAGTCAGTGCTTATGTCAGGGGCACTGCTGTCCTCACTGAGGCCCTCCACAGCTCGAATCTTCAGCTTATTGTCACCATCACATCGAGAGCTCACCTTTTATGGAAACAGAATGTTTTCAATCAATGTCCGGATAATATTAATACTATGAAGAATGAAGACATCAGAGCTGTCTGCAGACTGGACACATCTAGGACCAATATACATTACTTCTCCAGGGTTTTGTCAGTCAGAAAATGTGAATAATGTCACTTAATTATTTGTGTCATATGAAGCATGAATTTCTTCTATATACACTCGACTCTCGATTATCCAGGATAATGGTAGGGATGGAAATCACGATTAATCGAAAACCTGGTTACGAAAAATTTTATTAAAGGTAGTACTGTAATACTGTACCTTCATAATACTATAGGCCTACCTGTATTTAAATTTATTCAACCTCATTTTTATGTCATCTCATGGCCTATTTAATACTTTTTTTACATTACACTGAAGTATGAATTAGTTATTTCAATCACAGTCTTCAACAACATCCAACACTTTTTACGAATATTCACACTTAACACTTAAAAAAATTTAATACTGTCGTTTACTTTTTCGTGGCATTTTCCTTTTTCTACTGAATACTTAACACAACACGCTTCCTTTTACACCTTGACATTTTGCTAACGCAGTTGATCGATACAAAGAAACTTAACTGGGGCAGTGTATCTGTCCTTGAAACTTTCCACAAATCCTTGCATTCTTTCACCCCTACCCTAGAACATTGTGTTAGCATAACGGGACCAAAAAATGCAGAGCTTGGTTCACACTAGTGCGAAAATAGTGTTACAACTCACCATGTGCAACAGAAGTGAATGAACATTAAACCACATATAAGCCCCGGTAGCCACAGTTAAGCCGCAAACCGGTTTATCCACCCCCGGATAATCGAGAGTTGAGTGTAGTATATAAATATTTAGTTCCTGCCTCACAGAAACACACCATATCTAAATTGTGAGAATCAACTGGTTAATGTTGTTTCATGAAATATCTGTTGTTCATTCTAAGAAACATACAAAACACTTACAATGAACTGGCAAAATGCCGAGTTCTTTATTGTTAATGCAGATAGTACATACAGTTAACTGCTATGCAACATTAAGAAAATGAGGAGGGGGGATGAAAATATGGAAAGGAAAATAGTATCAGAAAGATGGAGAACAGAAGAACATGAAGGAGTAATAAAAAAGGGTTAAAGCTATCCTTGTAACAGGCCTTGGAGGCTCATACGGTTGTGAATGTTGAGGTTCCCACATTTTCTAGACAATCGGCTCATAGATGGCAGTAAGGTTGTCAGCTCTACGCGCCAGCCGACCTTTACCCCCAAGAATATTCAAAGAATATTCCTGGTACTCATATCTGTTAGAGGCTGAGTCGACACCAGGGCCATAGTGCAGCTGGAAGGATTAGGTAAATTGAAAAAATCCAGTGACCTCATCAGGATTCGATCCCGCGATCTTCTGGTTCGTAGCATAGTGCACCAACCAACTACGCTACCACGTGCCCCCGTTGAAGCAGGAGAACAACTTAAAATTTTGGTCTGAAATAGAGAAGGTCACTGGACATAATGTGAAGGCCAAGGTTTTTAAGTGATCAGCAAGAAAGAAATTAAATCTTGCTTGTTTCAAATTTCTTGAGGTTTAACTCTGTCAAAGTTATTGAGCTTGTCAGGAAAACTCCCCACTTTTACAGATCTGGAAGTTTCATCAGTGTGTTTACAAGAGCCCAAACCTGGAATCTATCATGGGCCAGATGAAACCAGCCCATACCTTCATGCTATAATTCTTTAAGATCCATTTTAACACTGTGTGAGACCTGAGATTCTTGTGGCATCAAATATCAAGATTGCTGTCATCTTGGATGAGACGCCATACAGTCTGGTAGATAGTTCTAGCAGTGTTACGGCCCAAAAGACCATATTCTTCAATATAATAATCATTTGTTTATCTGTGGCATTCACACGTCTCACAAATGGTGTTTTCCCATTCAGGTTCCTAGCTAAAATTCTGTAAGCATTTTTCATTTTTCTTACAAATTATATCCCAATTCATTTACTCCTACAAATAATATTTGGGGAAGAAAAAAATTACGATGTTTATGTCATTTGCATTATACTCTGATTAAATTCTTTCTTACAATTCATCAGCCAAAAGTGTTTGATCTGTGTGGATGAAGAAACTCAGGTAAAACCCCAGCTCCAGCAAATTACCGTGAGAAGTAAAGTGACACGTGATAACAAAATGAGCATAAGAACAGCCATGCCATAATCTGAACTACTGGCCATTTAAACACCGTTAGTTAATATTTATCAAAAATTTCCGCAAGGATTAATTTACAGTCTGCATTGTGAATTTTACAGTAACGTTTTATGATTTCTGTGCTTGCAACATCACATTATTCAAACATGTGTGATGCCAGGGCACATTGTATATAATATGGCATGGAAATTAATCATTCAGAAAATTTCACACAATGCCATGCAATCGTTAATTACACTAGGTGACAGTATTTTGACATGACACCTGAAAGCCAAAATAGTGGAGCAAGAGCACATGTTCATTATTAGGCAATGACTTGGTAAATAGGTTCCCGGGGAAACAAACAAGCAACCAACGATCGATGTATTGTTGAGTTGTGTTGTGGAGTGAAGGCCAACCCCCAGTAATATGTTAACAGAGTATTAACTTTTTTGTATTTTAGGGAAAAATATTGGTTGGAATAGATTTAGTCTTGGGAAATACTTGTAAGATGTACGAAAGCGGCTGTAAGAAGGTTAAACAACTTAAAGGAATTTCTGCGTACGGACTTAGACGGACATTGGCTTGCCACGCGGGAATGTCCATTCAGCAGAATGACATTGAAGGTACCTTGAAATGCTAACTTTGCAGAAGCTACACTTGTTCAAGATGGGGGGAACGTTGCGGGTAAAGGTGATAGTGAAATGGTCAAGCAGTAGAAGGGGGTGTGTCCCCTTAGGATCCCAGCCAACGAGATCACCCACCTTGGGATAAGACGTCATTGGAGGCGGAACTGCACCCCCCGGGAAAATAATGAGTTAGCATAAATTGGGGTATATAACCCAGAGACCAAATTAGTAAGGGGATTATTATAACAGTAATTTTGGCCAATTGCGGCCGCAGGCTATGTCAGAATGGGCACCGCCTCGACACCCGGCAACGCCATCCGTCTGCAGATTCAACCCAAGTAAGTGGAACTACTCTTATCGCCATGCCTAATAATTGTAATATTATTAAAGTGTAACTCCTCCAATGGGTCTTGAGTTAGGAACGTTACAAAAGTGTACAGGGCGTAAGAGTGATCCAACTGAATGATACAGAGGTAGCCAAGTGTAATGTGTAACCCGACACCAGTCGGCTCTTTCATTGTGATAGTACCAAAATGTGTATAACGGTATATTGATTGTGTTTATACTAATATAGGGTAGCATAGGGTGAGGATGTGGGTTTTTGTTGTGATTTCCCCCCTTACCACATTTCGCACCCGCACCCTCCAGCCAAGCCCGGTGAACAGTGAGCCCCTAGCCAATGAAATAACGATAGAGGAAGCTATTTAGTCGTTTCCTTAGCCCTAGCCTTGTGACTGCAGTACAGAAGGTGACAGCGGGGATACCTCCACGCCCCCCTGTCACCACGGAATAACTGGTGGCATAACAAGCTGTAACAATGGAAATGGTGTTGGATCAGCCCCAAGGTTATATAATGAGGATCTCAGACCAGCTGAGATAGAATTGGGGGAGCCTCTTCAGATGGCAGTCAATGATGATTGATAAGAGACGGCAAGCAAGGAATGAGGCTGGTATAATTACTGTGTTGAGATCCGTTGTCAGGATACAACTAGTGTGTGTGTAGATCAGCAATAACATTGCATTACTTGTAGTTACAAGTTAAGCATATAAGTGCAATAAATCCAAACATCCAACCCGAAACCTGTCTAACAGTCAGACCCCTAAACACACCTGACAATATTTAAGCTTACTCACCAGATGTTTCTTATGTTTATTAGTATCCCCTTTGCTGTCATCTGAAGGAGCATTTGGAGAGACAGGCCTGTCTTTCTCTGTGTCCTCACTAGCACCCGCTGGGCCTTCTTCACCATCCCCTGGTTCTCGTTCTACTGGCAAAACAGTCACTGCAATACAAAGATAATTAGCAAATCACAGTAAGAACTCCCTTTCGGATGAATTCATACCATGATTTGTTCTGTCGCTTACAGTTAACCCTCTAAATCCCGAAGTTCATAAGAATAATATTTACAAATTCAGTTCCTACCTCCCGGAAAATGCAGTACATCTCTATTACGAACAGCAACTGTGTAATGTCGTTTTGATGAAATGAACGCTATTTATTTAGAGAACCATAGGAAACCATTATGTATTCTACATGGACGAATTGCAATAGTTTTTTAATATTAAAGAGGTTGGTACATATGGTAACCACTGCGCTCTTGTGGGTAAACTACTGTCAAACAGCTCACCCTGCTTCTGTTCCTCAGACCTTTTTTTTTTTTGTGAGAGTACATGAAGTTGATGCAATCACTGCCTAAGTGATACACAAGTTACACAAATTTCAGATGTATAATACCCACCTGGTGGGAGGTTGGGACCCAAACAAATTTGATCTCCAACATATTTATCCACCAAGAAAATGAGGTCCATTTCCTGATGCAGGCTGGGCTACAAGGTTCACCCAGCCTTTTAACTCTTATCGACAATCCCACAAGGGACTTAGAATCCTTGCTGTTGAAATATTCCATTTATTCCGATGATGAATTTATGTCCCTAAAATTCTGAAGTGAGTGTATTATGGTTTTATGTTATGACAAATATCTTGTCCTCATTTAATCTATAAAAGAAAATGTTAGGCATTGGGTTTCTTTTGGTATTGAATTGCTGAAAGTGGGACAATGTATTGTATGATTGATTTGTATGAAATCTGTAGGTAATTAAGTTTCATAGTACTGCTGACTCATGTATGATATGTATGTTATTTTAACATGTAGTAATTGGCTTGTTCTATATGGGAAGGTTTATCTCCAAATATGGATACTTGGAACAAATAAACTGACAGATTTATTGATATCAAATGTATACTGGGGACTCTTTTACCCAGGCATACAACAGCTGGGGCAGTGTGGAGCTTATCTCCACTCTCCTGCCCACCCTCATGGAAAAATGCTTAATTAGGAACAGAGACACCCCAAGAAATGGAATTTTAACCACCTATTGCAGTCACAATGCTTTAAATACTTACAAATATATAATAATTTCATAAGCCCACACTACTTCCATATAAGGGCAGTAAGCTAACATGTGTACCTCTAATAATTTCTGAACAAACTTACAAACCTTACGAAACATGATAGATAGTAACATGCTACTAAGGACAGTCCCACGTTTGGAATTTTTATTTTCCTGCCATCAACAAAACCTACACGGAGACCATGTTCAGAGGTGGAAGCAACAGAACAGCCATTTAATAATCCCCCAGTTTGTACGCACCTCTGTTGGTTGCAGGCAGCTGTTGTGACTGGGGTGGAGAGTGCTGAGTTCCGAGGATGTTCGACTTCAGCAGAGACACCTGGTGGTTGAGAGGTGAAACTTCCAGCCCAGCAGAAGGTTTGATGCCAAGCGCTCGACTCTGTGCCAACAAGGAAGCTACTGTATTCTTCTTAGGTTTCGACGTGCCTCGACCAAGATTACGTGGTCGACTATCCTGTTGTACGAAGTACAGAAAGTAGGGATTAGTGTTCAAAACTAGTTTCATAAATGACTACAAAAGCCTGGTACTTCTACGTTATTTTCATTCTTATGTTTATTATAAATATGATTTACCGATTTATGAAATAGACTGTAGAATTTACGTTTCTTGCGGCAGTGACTAAGAAAAGTACCAGCTTCTAGGACACATTATGTTGCAGAGTGTATCAACATTTTAGAAGAACCTGGTGCCTTTAAAACCTGAAATACTGAAGTGCGTTGTCCTGTATACATGGTGGACTTTACAAGACATTCCTGAAACATTTGATTAATTTATTGAAGAGAGCCACGATAGTACAATCAGTACACTGACTGGCTACAGCCTGGATGACTGAAGGGTTGGAGTTCGAGTCCCAATAGGGTCAAGAATTTTCACTCATCCAGACTGGATACAGGGCCCACTAAGCCTCTTATTCAATCGGTACAGGAAGCTCTTTCTCCTGGGGTAAAACTCAACTACAACTAGTGTTGAGATAAAGGAAACGTGGGTCTACACATCCACTCCCCTATACGTCTTTGTGGTGTAGTGCTTTATTAGTTAAGTATAGGGACAACTTTACTTATTAATTTATTGAGAGAAAAGTTACTTTACCTTACTAAGGATGGATAGTGTCTGGAATATGAATGATAATGAATGAACAAATTGGTCCAAAAAGTGAGTTAATCACATGAAATTAAAATTTATTCAATCAGTCATGACCTAATATTAATTGAGAAAGTAAACAACCACCCAAGGTTCCATATAAATGACAAGGAATACAACATGTAGAGATATGAAAGATTCTAATGCATCCACAGAACATAGCTCTCCTGCACATTATGGTGTCACTTAAAACAAAGATTACCTTTGACTGGGAATCATTTTCTTCACTGCCACTAGACGGTCGTGGAGAATCTGCAGCAGCAAACAACTGAGCTAATGATGGGCTTGGAGATGCTGGAATTGCTGGGGATGGGCTTTGGATTACCCGTCTTGGCTTTGGACCCGGTTTCCGTCGAGCTGAAAGATCAATTCGGTACTGAAACATCTAAGAGTCAAATGGTAGCATTTCAACTCTTAACTGGAATGCCACAAATCATATGAACATTGGTACCAAGAACAGGACAGTCTTATAAAATGTGAAAGAAACAACTCATGACTACCATAAAAGTTACTAAATATGGCAGACCTGGATATATACTTACTTACTCACTCATGGAGCTGAGCCCTTCTTGAGGAGCCGCCAATTCTGCAGCTACTCAAGAATTTCCCAGCATTTTATGGAACCCACAGGTTCATTTGCACGTTCACAAAACCCCTCCACTGGTCCTTATCCTGAGTCAGATCAATCCAATCCATACCATCCCATCCTATCACTCTAAGATCTATTTTAATATTGTCCACCCACCTACACCTTGGTCTTCACAGTGGTCTCTTTTCATCTGGCTTCCCCACCAATATCCTATATGCATTTCTCATCTCCCCCATTCGTGCTACACGTCCTGCCCAATATATATATATTCGTTCACAAATATAAATCACTCCGTCCAATGTGACCTGTAAGTTTATTACTACATGAAAAACTTTACACCCTTACATGTTTCGGTCTCTGCGGACCATCTTCAGAGGGCAAACATCACTACAAATAGTGTGACGGACCAGAATGAAACAAATCAAATTTATATTCATTCATCTGTAATCTGTCAAGACGACAGGTCCACAGTCTCTTCCAAAACTGTTCCTCCACTTGATGCGAACGAGAGCTTTCTCCTTCAAATGAAAATATTCTCTTCTGTCCCCAAGGTCAACCAGCATCTTCTTATGTCTTCTGGTCACTTCTATCCGCCCCTCTATCTTTCCTTCAATAACTTCTTTTAGAAGGCAGTTACCACGTAAGATATGACCAATCCAATTAGCCTTCCATATATATGAGAAAATATCCAAATGTAATCTCAGAGAAATATAATAGGATGATGTGTTAATATATTTAAGATCCAGTAGTTTATTTAACAATGGCATCAGTAACCCTGACCAAATGACCAATATCCTGATGCACAAGGCTGTGCATTCAGGGTCTAAAACAGTTAACAGAACAAGAAAAAGGAGGAATAGGAGAACATATAAAGGAGAATGAGATTACAAAGTAGGAAGAAGAGAAGGAGCTGACGATCAAATGAAAGATTTTGTCTGAACAGGTTTAGAAGATATCTTCAGACTTGCCCACAGTCCACAAGCTACAAGTTGAACAGAAGGCTTACATGTCCTTTCAGTGACTGCCGGTGTCATTCCTGGAGAGCCAAGAGAAGCCGAGAGGGACGACAGTGAGGAGAGAGATGACTTCTGAGCACTATTGCTCCCAGTACTGCTCATGGACGAAGATTGCTGAGGTTTCAGCGAGAGGTTAAGAGGGACCTCAGTTTCAGGTGTTGAGCTGGCAAAAGAAGGGATGTTAAGTGCAATAGTGCCATTACTGCTGTGTGCTGGTAACTTGATTAACTCCACTCTGTCCCTGTCATGCTCCTGCGACCCAGCGACTGGACTGTCACGATAATCTGGAGGATCCTGAAGCTGCAAAACAAAAGAATTTCAGCTAAGCCTAAATGTTTCTGTTAAACATGTCTTTCTGTACACTGTCCAGCTTATTCTGTTTCTTTATTCTTTTCTTTCAAAAACAAAGCTTTTCAAACTCAATCTGCTTCCACCATCACATGTAAGGAAGAAAAGAATTTTATTCAGCTGGGCCCATTAGAAAAAGCTAGTCTTAATCCCTGGATTAGGGCAGCACCATATCTCAAGTGGTTAGTCGCTGGCTTCCCACCGCGGTGGCCCGGGTTTGATCCTGGGTCTGGTCAAGTGGGATTTGTGGTGGACAAAGTGGCGGTGGGGAGGGGTTTCTCCGAGGACTTCGGTTTCCCCTGCCAATATTCATTCCACCAAATTCTCCATCATCATAATCACCCGGGACAGACTACAATAGGCCAATCAGTGGCCACCGTGCCGAGTTGACCCAGTTGCACTCGTCCCCCATTAAGCGAATTAATTAATCCCTGGATTGGTGATAATGGAAACAGAACACTGTCGGAAAAAACTCAACACAATGAATAATGTCTTAATAAAATATAAATGCTTCTTGTTACAAGAATTGCAGTTTTGAAACAATCATAATTCTTTAGTGTTTCCATAGTGAATGTTTTAAAAAATTGGGGTATAAGACCTCTGTAATATATGACATACTTGGCTCTTAATTCATTTGAAATGTGGTAACATGTACTTAAAATCCTCTTTCACATGTTGGCTTCTATTTCTGGGCTGGTGCTATAGCTCTGGTGATTAGCCACCATCTTCTCACTGCGATGTCCTGGTATCAGTCCTTATACCAGTTCATGAAGAATTTGCAGTGGACAAAGTGGCAATGGGGCAAGTTTTTCTATAAGTGCTTTGGTTCCCCTCATAATTCTCATTCAACCAAATGCTTCATTTCTGTCACCTACCGCCTGAATCTGGCACCACTGACCATTAGCAATGTAAGCACCAAGGGATTCATGTCACCCTCCACCCAAATACTAAGAAAATGACGTACAATTCCATCATAAAAAACAAGTCTCATTTGTGGTCTTCTATGTGACAATACAGTCTTGCAACCCACACTGTCACAATCCGAGGTTTCACTGCTGCATGAGCCTCAAACCTCATACTATGTTCTCGTTCCTTAAGCAGGATGTCTAATGTGCAAAGTAATTAAAGTCACTAACACTAAGTTAATAACCTGCCATCTGATCTCAAAGGTCTTATGAATGAAAAGGCATGATTTAAAATAGCACTGAAACGATACTTAAATACACATTCATTCTATTCTGTTGATGAATACCCATTGTCTAGAAAATAACTTATGTATCTTTAAATAGCCTTATGTGTAGACACCTTGTATTCTTTGTTTCTCCTGTGTGAGAACTCCATTGGGTCTGTACATATGTTTTGTATTGATATGACATATTCCACATCCTACAATCATTCTGACTAACTCTGGATCCACGGAATGCAATGCAATGTAATGTAACTCATATGATGGGGGATAGCTGTGAGTACAGTGACTAAGCTACAGACTTGATGACCAGAGAATCAGGGTTTGACTCCAGCTGGAACAGGTATTCTTTTCATCTCACCTAGACTGTATCTGTGTCCCACCCAGTCTCCTATCCAATGGATACCGTGGGCTCTTTCTCTAGGGGTAAAACAGCCAGGGTTTGCAGCAATGACTGCCTTCCATCTACTGTCTAGGGTTAATAAAGACTGGAGCTATACTTTCACTCCCCCCATATAACAGCATGGTATGGTTCTTAAGTAATTAAATATAGTAACAACTTTACCTTTTACTTAGAAACGTCTATTTACTTTGATTGCTACACATGAAGAAATATGGGACCGTTGAGATATAGCTACATGTAAGCAACCTTGGCACTATGTGGAGATGAGCTGCCTGCTTCACATCTTGGCTGCTTTGGTACTGGTGAAAGATTCCCAATTCCTACCAGACAGGCACCAGCCCTAGGGCTGGTCTGCACATGATGAAGAGAAAGATCTTCACTCCTGCTGGAAATCGAACCCTGTCCGGCCTCTAGCCTTGTCACTACACTGACTCAGCTAAGTTAGGTCTCACAACACAAAGGGAATTGTGTCATCATAATGAACTTACTCGACTACGAGGATATCTCCTGCCGCCTCTTTCAATGAGCAAGCCAGTGGATGAATGGGCAGCCATCACACTCACAGATGGAGGGTCCAGAGATATCGTTTTCTTGCGGCCTCTGTTAGTTGTCCCTGGGATCTTAGGCCCAACAATGGACGATGTATATTTGATTATTTCAGTGTCAGGAGGAAGCCGGACCCCACCAAGAATACTTGCAGGATCGCTGAAATGCATGAAAACACAGCAGATATTATATGCGCCACCTGCTTACACCTTATATGTTCTCTTATAACTGTTTTTCATTTCCTTCTCACAATAAACAGCTATTATTTCCCTAAACTGCATTTAAATAATTGGGCTCCCTACTGCAGATCACATGTGTTTCCTGTGAGCTAGGACCTGGACTTTTTGAATTATTATATACAAGAAATTCACAATTAAAAGGTTAAAACATTACATTTCCCATTATAACTTCCCTGAAGATAAAGTACAAGCTAACAAATTAAAGGAGATTTGAGGCTTTCACGGCGGTGACTATGAAGAAAGCAGTCTTCTGGGATTTGGCACCGTGTATATGTGGTGTTAACCGACGTTTCGGAGGAACGTATCGCCTCCATCTTCAGGGTAGAAGAAAAAGTATAAGAAATCTGCAAGCGACAAGACCATGAGAACGATCTGCTTTTACCGTTCTCACGGTCTTGTCGCTTGCAGATTTCTTATACTTTTTCTTCTACCCTGAAGATGGAGGCGATACGTTCCTCCGAAACGTCGGTTAACACCACATATACACGGTGCCAAATCCCAGAAGACTACTTTCTTCAAATTAAAGGCGTATCAGCACATGAAGGAACACAGGGCTCTGAAATAAAACCTACATTTTTCAAATTACCTAAAGATAAATGATGTATACTGAGCATAATTTTTTTATTGCTAGTGGGGTGGGACTAAGTTCCTTGTACTGCGGCCACTTCTGGCCTATTGTACCAGCCCCACATGATAGTTGAGGGTGATTGTGGAGCAATTGGTGGAATGAAGATTGGCAGGGGAATCCGAAGTACTCGGAGAAAACCTGCACCAGAGCCACATTGTCCACCAAAAATCCCACTTGACCAAACCCAGGATCGAACCCAGGTTGCCGTGGTGGGAAGCCAGGGACTAACCATTTGAGCTATGGTGTGGCCTATACAGAGCATAAGAAGGAATTCAAACAACACCCAGCATACTGTGAGAAATCATAATAGTATGCATCCTGTTGTGTATCATATATACAATATATAATGTGTATAATGGGGGCAGTCTACAAAACAATATTACTGGAAAGCAAAAGAGACGCTGTTGTATCAACATCTGTTCTATTTTGCTGTTGATATAATAGTGTCAACTTTGTTTCTCACAAATACTGTTGTGTAGACTGCCTCCTTTTTACACATATATCTTATACTGTGAGAAACTCTGCCAGTATCAATAACACGCTAAACAGCAGCAGCTATATGAGGAGGACAACAACAACAACAACAACAAAGTAAGCCTGCAAGCAATTGAAATTATTCATAATGTGTTCCCACAATGTTTAACAACTCCTTCCAAGCTTCTAACATAACAGAACATATTAGGACAATGTGACTAACAAATGTTTTCACAGTTCACAACTGCATAGCAACTATACTCTCACATCAAAATACAACACCACAAATCCTGCCCAGAACTGAATAAAAATGAAACGTGTAGAAAAAGCACAGTTTCAAGATGGTTACTGTGACAGAAGAACCTGAATACACAATGCTAGTAGAATAAACAAAAAGAAGAAGAAGAAGTTTTGAACAAAAATTTCCGAACAGGTTGTGTATCACTTGCAAGTTTAAGAGTGTTATGGCTATGCTAACCCACGAGGTATACTATGTAGAATATTTATCTTCAAAACTACTGAATCAAATATTTTGAAAGTATTTCATATAACAAATAGATAACTGTACTTCCATAAACCACAAACTCCGTGGCGAGTAGTCTGCAAGTGAACTATACCGACCAAGAGACCACCGCTTGTCAGCGAAGTTAGTGCCAACTTTTGTGGATAGAGGTCAGAGCAATGGTTCCCCACAGCCGTTAATCTCGGTTTTCTAGACCGGAGCTGCTGTTTCCTTGAAATAGCTTCTTGATTATCCTCATGAGGTTGAGTGGACCTCGTTCCAGACCCACTACTTCTCAGAAAATCTGGTAGCACAGGGAATCGAACCCGGGACCTCTGGATCTGTAGGCAGGAACTCTGACCACTAGACCACTCCATAGTTACATAAAAAGGTGTGTTACTATGCTTTCTGGTAAAGACAGACTGCACAAAACAGACACCATTATTTATGCTGATTATCAAGAGAAAATGTGGGAGCCTCTACATCAGGCAACCCTATGGGACTTCCCAGCCTATTCCAGGGATAGCTTTACCATTCTTAAAATTATAATCCCATGTCACTGCTAGTGATAGTATATATATATATATATACACACGTGTGTGCATATATATATACATAAACTATACAAAGTATCTGTTAATTAGAATGAACTCATTTGATAAAAAGAAAGCATAAAGATAGGGAACACAGTAATTGATAACACTGTGATGACTATTCTTTTTAGTTACAGGTCACTGAAACATGCTCAACACCTAAATACTGCAGATACATTCTAACTCCAATACACATATATTTTGAATACGAGAAAGTATAAGGTTATTACATCAGAAATATTGTGAATATTTGGTAAACAACTGCACATATCTGAAGTTTAATGTGTGTGAAGTTTGCAAAGAAAAATGGTTATGTTCTATGTGAGGTTAAGCATGCACATCACAACAATACAAAAATAAAATATTCCAACATACCTTCCTTCCCTACTGGAAGCACTGAATAGAAAAGTAAAGAAAAAATAGACATTGGCTTAACATATAGCACAAGAAAACCCTTAAACATTCTTACAGAATAAGAACTTATTATAAAACCTTTCAGGAGTGAAAAATAACACTGTGGACATTTTGCAAAGATTTAAAAATAAAAATGTTTACAGCAAAGTTTTTAATGGAGCTCTTTACACTGGAGCACACGACTCTGCTAAAAGAATGTTTATTTACACTAAATTTAGGTTAGAATGCTTGCTGAGAGAATGTTTATTTCATATTTTTATGTTACAGAATCAATTCTAGTTTTCAAGAATTTTCGTTCGCATCTAAGCTTAACTGCAACAACAGAGATTAAGTACAAAATTTCATATGTGTAGATGTGTAGACTATAAAAAAAATAGACTATACCTAAAACAAATAAATACTCTACAAACTGGAACTTATTTCACTCAGCTGAAACATTCTGTATCTTGATCTGTGAAGACTGCATATTCCACCGAGACCTAAGTTACAGAAATCTGATTCCTGTGGTTCTTTCTCATTTTCTGCATGTTCTTTGGGTTCAGTAACATACAATCTTATTTCTGCCATTAGAAAAAGCTGAGTTTCAAAGGTTTAAAATGGGTATGGGACCTATGATTTGGCCATGCATATGCACAATTGATAGCATTTCATTTTCAGCATGTATAGCATCAGAGTTCCTGTCACTGCATTAAGATAAAACCTCTACAAGCACAGAAGCAGGAGACAATGTCTTCTATCACTATTCATATCCTACGACCTGTTCAAGTACTCTGTGAAATAAACCACATAACCGTATCAATAACGGAACAATACTTCTTCCACTGGACACAAACATTAAATCAACCCCAAAAGATATCAGTGCACTTAATTACTTTCACATCAATATTTTAATGTACTACTTGCAGAATTTACTGATATTATAATATGAAACTTCCTGCAGAAGCTCTGGAGCCATAATCAAATTCAGGGTTACCTACTCTAAATGATGAAGCAGAGAGAAATATATATTTAAAAAAAAGCGACTCACTTCAAGATTGTGCAACAATGTATCAAATGATAATATTCAAAGTTTTGTTTTTCAGACTTATATTTAAATATTAAATGAAATATAAGTCTCTGTGAGGTATGATTATCAAACAGTTTTAATTATCACTGAAACTGATTATATCATGACAGTGAAATCAAAATTCCTATTAAGGATTATTGGGTTTCTGGACTTCATCCATCACCTTGCATTCTAAACAGAACATGTTACAGAAGCTGGATCTGTTTCTTTTCTCAGGTGAAAAGGTACAAAAGACACCTACTTAGCTGGATCCATTAGAAAGAGCCAATCACTGAATTGTTCTAATAGATACAAATGAGTAAGTGCATCTGCATCATTTCATCTTAGGATGGAAACAGATCCAGTTTCCAAAACATTTGTTCTTTTATGAATACCAGATGATGAATGACGTCCAGAAACTCAGTAATCCTGAGTGTAATACATCCATCAGAATCTTTTAAAACTGGCAGAATTTCTACCTTTGGCATATCTCAGGTCTCTATATCAAAACTAAATGGTCTGAGTACTGACGTAATAATGTCTTGGTTCATTACCTGATAACGCTTGAAGCACTGGCACTTTAAACAATGGGCAGAATTACATGTTCTCTCTCATTCTCCCGTTCACTTTCCCTTTCATGCTCCCTCTCCCTTTCTCGTTCACGCTCACATTCTCTCTCACGCTCCCGTTCGCTTTCCCTTTCACACTCCCTCTCCCTTTCTTGCTCACATTCTCTCTGATGTAATAATGACTTGGTTCATTACCTGATAACGCTTGGAGCACTGGCACTTGAAACAATGGGCAGAATTTCACGTTCTCTCTCATGCTCCCGTTCCCGCTCTCTTTCCCTTTCACGCTCCCTCTCCCTTTCTCGTTCACGCTCACGCTCTCTCTCTCGGTCTCTGTGATGAGAGCTATGACTACTGGAACTTGTAGTGGGGAGACTCGCTGTTATAGATGACAGCGATGACAATGACGATGCTGCGGTAGACTTTGAGCCAGACATTGATTTGCTACTGGATTTACTAGTTGATACTGCAAAGAAAAATGTAGTTTATGAAACGCATCCAAATTAAAATTGCAATTATTTACTGCAGTAAACAAACTCACTGGAGCACTGTTTCTCTAAAAGTTAACAAACAGTCTTTCAATTACTCAAGAAATTCACAACCTTTTATGGAATGCAGAGACTCGATATCAAGTTCAGAACAGCCCACCACTGACCTCCATTCTAAGCGAGATTAATCCCCCACACTTTATTTCTCTAAGATCCATTTTAATAACATTTTACCATATACAGCACAGTCTCCCAAAGGATCTCTTCCCTTCATGTTTCCAAAGTATCCATTTGCATTCCCCTTCCTCCCATTTGTGCTACATGCATCACCCAACTTAACTTATTTTTCTGAAGCTGGTTATTTAATGACCCTATCAGTATCAAGACTATACAGCACCGATAATAAGACAATGAATGAATGTAAAATAGCTGATGGAAACAGAAGTTCTCTGAGAAACCTACCCTAACACCATTTCTATCATCACAAATCCCACATAACCTGACCTGGCAAAGAACCCAGGACACTATAGTCTTACTCTCTTGATCTGATTGCCCAACACAATGAATGTCCTAAGACTAAGTATAACCTTTTGCATAACCTCCTCAGGTGGTTTGGCAATGCATCCTCAGTTTCTTATGGAAAATTAACTATAGTTATATGTTTTTAATACATGAAACATTTCTCAGGAATGCACCTTCCATGTATATCGAGAAATGGCTCTATCTCGAAGCAAATGGCACTTTTAACATGACTACAGCTGCTCTCTTTATGCCAGATATTAGTTTTGTTCTTAATTACTTTACGCACATTCATGTATGTGGTATATAACTTGAAAAAAATGGCCTGAAAAACTGTGGCTCTAGTACACCATGTGTGCAAGTGGTGAACATCCTCTGACATGCAAGCGCACACACATCTGCAAGAGGGCCAATGCGGCTTGATGCCACCATCAGTCTCACACACCATAACTTCTTTTAAACAGCAAAAATTAATATCTTCTTCTAAACAGAGGTGATATTTTTTTTCAGACCATTCTGTATGAAGTACTACTATAGTTCTCAATTCACACACCAAACACACCACATAAAACCTCAGCAGAAGAACACATGTCAATATAATACACAAACAGGAAACTTGTTCTTATACAGAAATGTACATCACGTTTCATGCTTGGACTGGGAATTTCATACCAACTTACCATGGGGTTGGCCATGAGGTGTGGACAAAAGGGGGTACCCAGGAACCAATCCCTCAGCACCAGACAATCCAGAAAATGGAATCCCACTGGCAGCAGCTGACGCTTGAAGTCGTGCTAGGTAGTCTTGAGCTGCTAGATGTGAAGCCATGGTCCACCAGGCTGCACCTGAAATTAAACCTTTCATTGGTCTGTTACAAATTACACTTTGGCGTGCCAGATGTTAATTCCCTGGTCCTACACTCTGGCATCCTTCAAGCAAAACAAAACTCTGTGGCATCACTCCGCAAAGGAACTATACCGACTGAGCGACCACCACTTGTCAGCGAAGTTAGTATCAACTTCAGCGGATAGAGGTTTCGCGTGGTCAGAGCAACAGATCCCCACAGCCGTTAATCTTGGTCTTCTACACCGGAGCCGCTATTTCCTTGAAATAGCTCCTCAATTATCATCACGAGGCTGAGTGGACCCCATTTCAGACCCACTACTTCTCAGAAAAAAATCTGGTAGCGCCGGGAATCGAACCCCGACCTCTGGATCTGTAGCCAGAAATGCTGACCACTAAACATCAATTAAAACATTTTAATTGATATCTTTGTAGTTCTCCACTGCTTCCTGAACCACAGCGTAGACTGCATCTGTGAGTGGAGAGACTGTTTCTATTACTAAAAATTTAAATGTATTTATACTTCACTCTTGTACCCCCTTGCCATGCTCTCCTTCTTCCGTTATATTTCATCATATACGTACATTCTTATTTTCTATTACCGCTCTTTATTCTTGCAAACTTCTATCATCCTAACACCCATTTCTGCATCAATATTCCTAAACCTCTTGTCCCTCCAAATCTGTCTTCTATTCAAGCTCATATGTAGTTCCATTCTTCCTAATAATAATAAGTTTTCAATATCACACAAATATTTATTTAAAAAGAATGTTTTTCTTGGTTCACTACATGTTTTGGCCAGATTTGCTAACCATCATGTGAAATATATATGACAGTTAACACGTTCTGCATAAGATGTAATGCATTAAAATTATAAATTGGTAATTAGGTCAGATGTGATGTAATCAAATGGATCCCCATAAATATATACATAGTGTATATCTGAATGAAGACAATAATCAAATGAAGGAACAGAAATCTTTTAATGCTTTTCACAGAATACATATTCTCTGATCATTAAACAATCTAGTAAAAACGTTTAGGTTAGAAATTAAGAAGGTGTTCTGTTTCTTTGGACTGTTTTTCTGCTATCATATCATGTCACTCTCATGAGAGCTGATTTTGTGCTGCATTTGATTTGTGGAATTTGGTCATACTCCAAGCAACAGCAATGTAGGTCACTGCCTAATAAGGTACATACAACACCAGACTATTAGATTACATATCAACAGAGTCAAGATAAGAAAAGATTACTCAGAAACTCCAATAAAAGCAGAGACAAGACAGCTCAAGAAATGGTAATTCCACAAAATAACTTCTGCAAATAAAATAAACAGATACAGACCAACCAGAAACCACAACACTGCATGTGCATGAAAACTGAAGAGAAATGTCTGGAATTACGTATGAAATAACAGCAAGGAATGGAGGAAGTTAACCTTTTGCATGCATGCCACACACTCACTGGACTGGTTTGGATTACTTGTGTTAAACCTGTAACAGCCAACAGACTTGCTTCTTGTTATTCAATTACTAGAGCATTATTCAATAAATGGCATCAAGTGTGACACAGTAACATTTGAAGGAAAGCATGGGCTTTCAGAAATGGTATTTATCTGTCTGGTTGAAGGTCATTTGAGGAAAGCATTGTGGAGTTCTCTTCACACGTATAATTACTGTAACAACCTTTGGTATTTTCAGCACACAGTTCTGTGACAGGGTTTGGCAATCAAAGGATTAACAAAGAAATCTATTTTATAAAGTTCTCCAAATACAGAATGTGGTGGGTAGCTGAATCAAGGAGGTTGTGAGAAGTTCAGAATTTTAGTGGTGCAACTTCCTGTAGAGTGGCAAAATGGCACTGACCTCTTGAGATGGAAAAAGAATATTAAAACTGATGTCAGGAAAATGCTTTCTGGTGATGTGGACAGGAGTGAACTGGGTTTTGTTACAGCAGTTATGGCTGCAATACAACAATGCAGGAGGAAACACAATAAATCAATGACATGAAGTATAAATGTTCTATAATCTTACTTGCAGGATTTATTCCTAAACTTGCTGCCTGACTTGCCGCAACACTCAGAGTGCCAAGGCTTCCATATGACCCTGGTGCTGTAGTGGGGGGGTGATGAGGAGGGCCATACCCACTACCAGAACTGCTTCGTCCTCCCATCATTGCGAACGCTGCTGCTCCAGGCAAATGGTGACTGCCCAGATGGTTTCCAAATCCTCCAGGAATACCACCAAACAGAGTGTGACCTGAAAGGGTATAACAGAATTTACAATAATTTAATTTTCTTTCATTCTAATTAACATTTCATGCACTGAGGCATTTCTGCTTCACAGCGAGGTTTATGAAGAGTTCTGCCATCTGAGATGAGATGTCATGTATTGCCGACATTTTGGAAGCATTACTAAATCTCATAATGAACAGAACTATGAATAATAAGCAATGTTTCCACACAAGTGCCATGCAAGAACACACAACAAATGCGAGGTTCTCACAGCTGTAAATATTGTGATTATGAGCAGTACATTACAAACACACTGGATACTTGTAATAAACGGGTTCATATAAGAATCACAACTCAATAATTTAAGATTTGTAGACTGTATCACCTGATGATTGCTCCATGAGAGCCGAAACACGTGGCGACGTTCTTACGCACTTATGGAGCTGAGCCCTTCTGGAAGAGCCGTCAATTCTGCAGCTACTCAAGAATTTCCCAGTATTTTTTGGAGCCCGAAGGTTCACACTGTATTCAAAGAGCCTTCCACTGGTCACTATCCTGAGCCAGATCTATCCAATCCCATCCTATCTAAGATCCATTTTAATATTGTCCACCCACCTACGCCTTGGTCTTCCCAGTGGTCTCTTTCCTTCTGGCTCTCCCACCAATATCCTATATGCATTCCTCTTCTATCATTCGTGCTACATTCCCTGCCAACCTCATCATCCATGACTTAATGAGACGCCCTCCAGGGTTAGAGGGAAGCTGCGAATATACTNGGTGGTTGGGTGTGGGGTAACAACTCCTCATCCTAAAAAATAACCATGTTACGAAAATGCACACAAAGCCTCGGACACAATATAACTTAGTGCTTTATATAGCATAATAGGATCTCCTGCGGTTACAGTATAATCGAAAGTTTTTCCCGATGTTTAAAATGTTTTCCAGGCAATAAAATTAGTGATTTATATCTTTCGGTCAGTTTAGTCACCCGGGAAAGTGACCCACAATTATAAAGCTGCGCCTATTGTAAACAGCTATTCGTATTACAAAGTTTCGTTTTACGAACTCAGTATGCTGGGACATAACCATTCGTCAGGGCGCGAACCAACCGTACAATCAATCATGGGTGAGCAATGTATGATATACAGAATTCCCCACCACTAACTGCCTGCCTTATTTAGATGTATCACCGTTATCCAGATAAACGCTACTGTTCCGTACACCGACCGCCTCAGTGGTCTAGTCGTCAGAGTTCCTGGCTACACATCCAGAGGTCCGGGTTCGATTCCACACGATTTTCTGAGTAGTAGCGGGTCTGGAACGGGGTCCACTCAGCCTCGTGAGGATAACTGAGGGGTTATTTCAAGGAAATAGCGGCTCCGGTCTAGGAAACCGAAATTAACGGCCGTGGGGATTCGTTACGCTGACCACGTGACACCCTCCATTCGCTGAAGTTGGCACTAACTTTGCCGACAAGCGGCGATCGCTCGGTCGGTATAGTTCGCTTGCAGACTAAAACCATGGAGTTCGTTTTTGTTTTTTGTTCCGTACATCTGCATAAAAAAATTAATTTTCCTTAGAATTATTTTATTATTGCATTAAAACCAACTGAATAATTATCAACTTTACCAAAGGCCAAGACAAATGAATTTATATCAATGGTACCAACTTAATTACAAGTTTCCGAAATAACGTAATCCGGCTTGGAGCCGCTGAACTGAACGCCTGGTTTATTTACGCATTTCTACTTAGTCTCTTATTGCAGGAAAGGCTGCGTTTATTTACACGTGCATCTAACACATCTGAAGAACAAACGCACGCCAAAACACAAAAACAGGTCTGAAAATAAAGACATCACAATGGCGCTAGTGTGTTACGCTACACAATCGCCTACCTCATTAACGGTCATTAACTAAACTATTGTTTATTAAACAATGTTTGTTAATTTAAAATGACCTACAGAATATTCTCCCGAAGTCTGGACATTTTTTGGTGGGACACCCTGTATAGGGCATTAATTATTTAGTCTTTACAATAATGAGACGCGGTGTAGTGTAGGTCAAGGTCGAATATGACTCCCCCTCTCCCGCTCCCTTCGTTCCTCTCGTTACAATGACCTCTTCTGGATGAAAATGGCAGTCGTATTTACAAGCATGTGACAAGTTCACGGGAAGGAGGACACTGAACTAGCTGTACGGAAATGCCTGCAAAATGAATCACATGAGATATTCTGCATTACAAACCACGTCAGTACCCACACAGAAAACGTTGATACTGCACTGGGCCCATTAAATCTCTTGAACTAGACAATACAAATCCTGTTTCTTGTCTCTGAATGTCTGTTTTTCTTTTCTTTCCCTCTTTGTACCTTTCCGAAAGAAGAAAATAGACGAACTGTTATCAGGTGAACTGTTCATTAATTCGAGACTAGGACCTCCTAGGATATGCCGCCATGCAGTTTGATAGACGCATATCAACGTTCTAGAGCAAACATGATTCCACTCTCTCGGGTTCGACTCTCCACCTCTTAAGGTTCGGCCACACAGAGCGCTACGTACGCTACGTTCGCTATACGAACAGAAAAATATCTCCCTTTATTGCCAATGTGACTGGACACACAGACTTCTGTACGCTACGTTCCCTATGTTAGCTGCGTCGCAGACTGTACACAGCGTACGTAGCGAACATAGCGTAGCGCTCTGTGTGGCCGAACCTTTACACCCTAATGACGGAATAAACGAAAATAAGTACCCACCAAATTAAACGATGCCATAATGCACAGTCTCGTCGTCGTGACAACCTCAATTCACCTAACTGTCCCTCCAGAAAAGTGTCTCAAACTGGCCACGACCGCTTCATAATCAACCAGCATATGATTCAACGCTTTATATTCTGGGACACACTGCACACACTGTCGTCAAACAATACTCGCCCCCAAAACTGAAGGAGGTGGAGTAACGATCTTATTTCAACGATAAAACCGAACAACGTGTTTCAATGAGAACGAGCTTCCAACGTCGTGTCGATCGGAGAAAGCCGGAAAGTTCTGTTTTGGAAGAACATATCGCCTTTATCTTCAGGGCCGAAGAGTAAGCCACGAAAGTCTTACTTCTTGCCGAATGTTTCGGCTAGTTTCTTGCTTTTCTTACCCTTCGACCTTGAAGATGGACGCAATACTCCTCCCGAAAACCGTCGGTCACTCACCGAAATACACGGAATTGCAACCTTCAACGGTTACCCCCGTGATAACCTCACACGCAAGGACATTCAAATTTTTCTAATCTTAATGCACATCTCAAAGCAAAGGCATCTTACCACCCGCAGTCCTACGCTTTCGGGTTCGAGTTTAAACAAAACGTGCACCGTCCGCCTTCCAACTCTCTCATCCCTTTTCTGGATTTCTTAATGCTGAAAGTGGCCGCCTCTGTGGTCTAGTGGTCAAAGTACCTGGCTACAGATCCAGAGGTCCGGGTTCGATTCCCGTCGCTAACAGATTTTCTGAGAAGCAGTGGGTCTAGAACGAGGTCCATCAGCCTCGTGAGGATATTTCAGGAGCTCTTTCAAGGAAATAGCAGCTCCGGTCTAGAAATCCCAGATTAACGGCCGTGGGGATTCGTTGCGCTGACCACGTAACACCCTCTATCGGCAAAATTTGGCACTAACTTCGCCGACAAGCGGCGGTCGCTCGGTCGGTATAGTTCGCTTGCAGACAACAGGCCACGGAGTTTTTATGCTGAAAGTAGGGGATACGCGGTAGCATATCAATTATCATCACGAAGCTGAGTGGACCCCGTTCCAGACACACTACTTCTCAGAAAATCTGGTAGCCCCCCCCCCGGGAATCGAACCCGGGATCTATGGATCTGTAGCCAGGAACTCTGGCAACTAATCCACAGGGGCGCCCATTGCTAGAGGAAAGGCAATGAAAAGATATTCATTGGAAAAGCGGGAGCATTCACATTTATATATCCATGCTTTTCAATGCTGCCAACATCATTTTGGAAGTGAGCTAAACCTGCCTTTTCTTTGTATTTTTCTCATAGTTTCATAGAGCGAATCCTGTGTTTTCTAGGCGCCGGAAACCGTACTTGTATAACCAGTCTGTGCAATAAGCAGACTAACGGTAGAACCTGACAAAGCTGTAAAGGAAGTGTTCCAATTAGCATACTGTACATCCGACGTGTATGGATCATTTGTGCCAATTACTTCTTCCTGCCAGCATAATTCAGTTAACAGCCATACCTACAGCGAGGTCACTTGCTTTCGGTGGTATCAGTCATAAACCGAGCCCTGTGGTTTGATATTTCTTTTACAGCAGTGTCAGTATTGCAGGACCGCCTCTGTGGTCTAGTGGTCAGAGCTCCTGGCTATAGATCCAGAGGTCCGGGTTCGAGTCCCGGCGCTACCAGATTTTCTGAGAAGTAATAGATCTGGAACGGGGTCCACTCAGCCTAGTGAGGATAACTGAGGAGCTATTTTAAGGAAATAGCGGCTCCGGTCTATAAAACCGAAACTAATGGCCGGGGGGATTCGTTGCGCTGACCATACGATACCCTCTATCCGCTAAAGTTGACACTAATTTCGCCAACAAGCGGCGGTCGCTCGGTCGGTATAGTTCGCTTGCGGACGAAAACCACGGAGTTTGTTTTGTCAGTATCGCAGATTACATAGCGTCGAGGGGTAAAAGTATCGAATAATGAACTGTGAAGGATCAGAAAGGAAGCGATCATGGCCTAATCCAGGTATACAGGAATTTTCATGGAGGGACTGAGGAAAGGCAAGGCAAAGTGGTCCCTGTACTTAATTTCTTTAATATTAATTTATATAATTATAGTTGTAATTGTATTTGTTGTACTTGTAAGTGTACTTGCATTGTATTCATTATGTGTGTAGTGTGTTTTGTTGTCTGTGTAGTTTTGTGTGTTGTGTTTTGAGCGTGGTGTCTTATTGTGGTACCACTACCACAGGGTAAAAACCCATTTGCAGTTAAAATAAATTAATGATAATCAAGCACTATGCCATAAAGGCGTATGGGGGTGTGGACTCACGTGTTGACCTCGGCACTAGTTGGAGGGGAGTGGAAAAGGGACTGAGGAAGACAGCGTAAAATCTCGGTCACGACAGCTGGTGTCCCGGCCGAGATTAGAACTGAAAACCTTCGGAATATGAGCGTAACTGCTACTCCAACTTGGTCGGTAATACAGGTCTTGTAAGTTCAACGGCCTTTTCATGCGTGATACCGCTATGCAGTAGAAATTATGTCGTTAGTTTCAAAAGTTTGTGGGAAAGGAGGTTCCCCACCCGCTGTTTACTTGGCTCACTCATCGACTTCGACGACAGAGACCATGTTCTACCGAAACGTCGGACTATCTCTGAACGACTCGACGTTACAACCCAGAATACCACAATCTCAATAGTTTCTCAAATTCCTGCTTGACTCTGAGGCTGCTGGGGATATGTTAATTCAAAACGTAGATAACCTTCTACTAGACTTTACGGTGTCACACTCCAGAAAATAGCATACTGCGGTGGCACTTCATACCAATTTGAAATAGTGCGATACAAAAAAATATATACATATATATTAATAAAGACTCAATTTATACCCATTGCTTTTTTCCTTTGGCGCTACAGCCCCAATTTGGGCCGTGGCCTACCTCCATGAAACTTTCCGTTTCACTTCGGTTTAGTAAATCTTAGACATTCGGTAGGACTCCTTGGGCGGGTGATCAGCTCGTCGCAAGGCCTCTACCTATACACAAACACTAAACATCTAACGCCATGAGTGGGATTCGAACCCACGATCCAGGTTTCCGAGCGAGCGAAGACAGTTCATGCCTTAGACCGCTCGGCTACCGTGACCGGCCAATTTATGCCCATAGCCCCCCCAAATTCGGCAATACATATATTCCTATGAGAAGATTTGCTCTGAATTATGCGAGGTCTTTAGGAACGCATCCCTGGCATAAAATGCGACCGAACTGTTTTCCTAGCCTCCAAATTTGACGGGAAAACACATACATAAAAGCAAGTCTCCTCTAAGACCGTTCATCGTAAAGAGAAATCTTGTTACCCAGCAGCAATACCATTGATTTTCACGCGCAGTAAGAAAGAGACAGAAAAAAAGGGGACAGAGTCGGTTCGGCAACGGAAGACGGTGGAGGGGTGGGGTTAATATTGCGGGGGGGATGAAGGAGGATTTTAGGAGGGGGCTGAAGCTCGAGGCGAGCACAGTTTAGCTGGGAAGGACAGAAGGTGATGGTAAGAGAAAGGAAACAGTCTCATGTCTAAACTCTTCTAGCTTGAAACAGAAAAAAAAGAGACAGAGAAAGAGAGTGACAGAGGGAGACCGGTACGTTACAGAAGACTGGACTTATTTTGCGCCACCCCCGCCTGGCTGCCGCTTTCATCCCCTCCTGCCTCACTGGGCACCGACTGCACCCGCACTCACATCAAGACGGCCAGAGGGTTCCTCACTACACACTGAAGGATCCATCTTGGACGACGGAAATCAATACAGACGACCCAGCGCCGTGTACACGCACCCCGTCTCACCGTCCTCTGTTACACGCCAGGGTAACTAACCGGTATGACGACTGAGCTACAGGTCGGATAACAGAGGAATACTGGTTCGATTCACAGCTAAGACAAGAGACTTCTCATTTCCCCACGCAGTCGAAAACGGTGACCGCCTCTTTGGTCTAGTCTACAGATCACGGGGTCCCGGGTTCGATTCCCGGGGCAACCACATTTTCTGAGAAGTAGTGGGTCTGGAACGGGGTTCACTCAGTCTCCTGAGGATAATTGTGGAGCTATTTCAAGAGAATAGCGGCTCCGGTCTAGGAAACTGGAATTAACGGCTGTGGGGATACGTTGCGCTGACCACGCGAAAGACCGATACCATTTGGATAATAATATTAAAGACAGGGACCAGTGGCGGTTCTAGCGAACACGATAACGAACCTTCGGGTACTAAAACAGTGTGTATAGTTTACAAACAAACAAACAAACAAAGTTAAGTGTTCGTTATATGCTTAGATTACCGTCGACCCCAAAGAAGGTGGGCAATAAGTTCCTCCAAAAGATCACTGAATTTCTACAAGACTACACGGTGTCATTTTCCAGGAGATGGTAATCTTCATAGTCAGTGCTGTGAGAAATTCAAACCAAAAGAAAAGTTCTCCATCAGCTAAGTGACTATAAGATAGTAAAGGAAGAAATCTGTTCCGCGTGGCTATCTCATAATATGACGTGCATGGGTTTAAGTCTGTGCGAAATACTCATTTAAAGTAGCCTACACACTTCACTTCTTCAGAATTAATCCCGATTTTTAAACTTCCATGTCCACAGACTCCGTTCCTAGGATCCGTTTGCTTACGAATTTATCTGCATGGAAGCTCAGCCCGTGGCAGACGCCCAAATACGAGGGAGGACACACTGACTTCAGCGATACACTAACACAAACATCCGCGCCCCAGGAGAACTGAAAACGACCACATTCCGAAGAATACACATATAAAACTTCACATTACACAAAGAATTCCGGTCTAGAAAAGCGAGATTAAGGCCGTGGGGATTCGTTGCGCTGACCACGCCACACCCTCTATCCGCAAAAGTCAGTACTAACTTCGCCGACAAGCGCTGGTCGCTCGGTCGGTATAGTTTGCTTGCGGACAACAGACCACGGAGTTTGTACATACACAGAGTGTCCCAGGAGGAATGGTGAATATTCTTGGAGGTCACAGTATTGGTCATTCTACGCAATAAAAAAGTGTTATGTATATATGTATGTCCTTTCCGAAGGGTTTCCGAGATACAGCTATTTCACTGTGCAGCTCCAAAACTGTTGATAAGAAAGAGATATTGCGTACTGTTTCTAATACCGGTATTTACTGTTCAAGTGACAAAGTTAGTACAGTTTATCTAGTACAATATATTTCCGAAAATTCCACCGTCAACATAAATGCACTTTGCAACTCGTGTGAGGACACGGCGTAAAGCCTTTCTGGGCAATGACAAATGGAAGAGAAGTTGACAGCAGAAGAATTAAAACTGTTTCCAAAGACGCATCACCCATAACAGTTTCCAACGATGAATTACCGGGTGCAGGACGATCACAGTTATTGGGGTTCATTATCCAACCGGTCGCTGGCTGACGCTATCATTGATCAGACTTGTTCCCTTCCCTCCACGCCCTCCCGGAGCACACATTACTGATGCAGCCCGATGTCGCTCTGCATGCCTCTCTTTTCCATACATAAGCATCGACCCTACCCAGGACACATCACTCAACTACACAGTCGCGACTGAAATTGAATTAACCTACCGTATTCAGCGGTTCACAGACGAAATCGGGGGGGGGGAGATACATGTATGGAAATCATATTAGTTCACTTTCATTTCTGCTCATCCAATTTTGCAAACACTGGTAAGTAAAAGGTAAAAATTAAAGCTATCCCTGTACCAGGCTGTGAAGGCCCATAGGGTTGTGAGACGTTGAGGCTCCCACATTTTCTAGACAATCGGCTCACAGATGGCGGTGAGGTTGTCAGCCTTAGGCGCCAGCCGCGCTTTACTCCCCAGGAAAATTATTTAATTAATTTCTGGTACTCATTTCTGTTAAGAGAATGGCAAAATAAAAAAAAAACGTAATTTCTACCGGCTTAGATATAACGCCGTGCAGACCGTTATAAGTCGACTGATGTTCAGGTCGAACACGCCGCCTCCATCTAAGGGGTCGAAGAAGCAGAGCTCTGGCTTGACATCTGCTTTCATTCCTGTGTTTTACTCGGTTTATTCTTCGACCGTGAAGATGGAGGCGAAACGTTCCTCCGAAAATTCGAGTGACTATCAATGGACTACACGGAATTATACCCCAAAGACGGAACTCTTCATAATCCTCGACATGAGAACCTCAAATTCTACAAAAAGAGATGTTTAAAAAGTACAAAGAACTAAACCCGAACCACAGAACTTACTTCCTACTTAAACGGTCTGATATGATCGAAAATCGACTAATGTCGATTGCGTTGTCCAAGACGCGTACGTTCTCGGACAGCTCAAGCCCAAACCAGGGACAGTACTGTCTTCTGGGATGTGAACATGTAGCCTGGCAGGAAAACGTGCTGCGATCCATTTTCGGGATACTGGTAACAATCTAGCACAAGGTCACTCATCGCCATCATGATGGATATAGCGTCTCTCCGAAACGTTACTATCGATCTATCACACCACAAGCAGTTACAACCTCTCTTACCCTGAAGATGGAGGTCGCACGTCCCTCCGAAACGTACTGATGTAACAGACTGTACGACGTCACACTCTAGTATAGTTATCTCCACTGTTACCACCGTGAGAACCCGTGTCTCGTTTTCGGATTATGTATTTAAGTCCAGACTCAAACATTGTACGTAAGTATGTGTGTATGTATGCATTTACGTGATTTTCCTCGTCAATTCCTATTAACTGTGGCTTAAAATGCTTCGTTCCCTCCCCTTCCTACGACCCTTCGAAACCTACCCCTCAAGAGGGACTCGTTCCATACGTTTATATCCAGCAGCCTATGCAGTTGAAACAGCAACGTTTAAGTAACATGAACAAGAATCACTCTGATCTCACAGATGCACCACCGCTTAGTCTCATGGCAGGCGAATCAACCTAAGTAATACGATGATTAATCGGCTAATCATCTTTGCTGCACTCACCGAAGAGGCTGGCGGCGTCCAAGAGGCTGGCGGCATCCGCCGGGGCGCCCGCCGCTGAACCACTCTTCTCCCCGCGATCCGCCGCGTCACCATTCTCCTTATCCATCGCTGCTGCGGGCGGCCCCCACCTGGAACACGAGGAAACACCCGGTGAGCGTGGGGGTAGCACATCTCGCACACCCACGCACTCCATCCCATCACTGTCCACGAGTCTGATGATTCTCAGCTCTTAAAGATTATCGCCATTATTCTGCATTATCATCCTTCACCGTCATGCTCACAATTATCCATTACCTTTATCCTTTATCATGCTAACAATTCTCATTAACTCCCTTCTTACACGTACTAAGCCCCTATCACATGTTCTGCTCATCTCTCGCTGTTTCCACTCCCCTCATGATCATGCCGCAGATATCATCTCAGTCTGGTCAGACTTTAAATTTAATTAGGAATGTTTTAAAGTGTCATAAATATAAAATGTGTAACCGTATGAGATATTCTGGTCTGGCTGAATGGATGGACGAAAAAATTATGTGGTGACCCACTACGAAGCAGCCCCATCAAAATGTTATTAATCCCGAAATGTCAGTTACAGCGGTAAATAACAACAGTGGATACATAACAAGAACGAGCAGGTAAACAGAAATGCATCAAATTTCTTTAGGTGCTTCCATACTTACTATTTTATATGCTATATGTTTACTGCCCCCAGGCAGTGTTCCGCATAGAATGAAAGGACCCTGGAATACCTAATCCGCAATCTCAGCCCCCCCCCCCTTTTAAGAGGATTAGAAATGTAAGAAAACCAACCTGAGCAAACCATGTGTAAGTTAAGACCCGATTGCTTGGGATTCAAAACGAGACCGTGCGTCACGTAACCTCCATGAACTGCCCCCCACGCTTAAGAATACATAATTCACTAACACGGCCGAGGTTTCGTGACGACAGAAACTTTGGACCCACCCCTTCTCCCGCTACAGTAAGTCTAGGAATATTATAAACTCCATATGACGTACGCAACGGAAAGTGCTCACTTGTGGTAATATTTAAAGGTCACCATGGCCGCGCCATAGCTCAAGAGATTAGTCGCTGGCTTCCCACCGCGGCAGCAAGGCTTCGATCCCGCGTCTCGTCAAGTGGGATTTGTGGTGGACAAAGTGGCGCTTGGGCGGGTTTTCTCCGAGTACTTCGGTTTCCCTTGCAAATTTTCATTCCACCAAATTCTCCTCTTCATAATCACCCGGGACAGGTTACAATAGGCCAATCAGTGGCCGCCGTGCCGAGTGGACCCAGTTGGACTCCACCCCCGACTAAGAGAATTAAAATAAAAATAAAAATGATGTCACCATCCGCCTCTAATAGCCGCGAAAAATTTAAAGGCACGCCAAAAGTGAAAAAAAAATTCTTTCCTGTTCAGCTTTCAAAGATTAGGATTTTGCACCATGCAGACACAAAATTCATTTCTAAAATAATTTGGCGTAATTTAGTTCAGATATTAGGCGCATGAGGAGGGCTCAGTAAGTAACAAATGGAAAATACAGAACTGGACGCGCAACTTTCATAAGCAAAGTACACTTGGTCGTTGACTTACGACCGACTTCCGTTCTGACTGACAGGTCGTAAGTCGATCTGCTCGTATGTGGGCCATGTATTTATTAACAGTATTTTTTAACCTTTCTATTCTTTTTATCATCTTTATAATTTATTTATTTACCTTTTTGTTGTCGTCGTAAGTCGACGACCAAGTGTACATTCGTGATAAGATTTAGAACTGCCAAGGGTGACGTATGAAGAGCCAGCAGAAGGTGCTCAAAGTAGAATCGCGACGCCTCAAAGTACAGCGATCTCGGGACAAAAATCGGGAGTAGTTTATGTTATCAGATACTGTCAGACCGCCTCTGTGCTCTGGTGGTCAGAGTCCTAGCTACAGATCCACAGGTCCTGGGTTCGATTCCATGCGCCACCAGATTTTCTGAGAATAGTGGGTCTGGAACGGGGTCCACTCAGCCTCGTGAAGATAACTGAGGAGCTATTTCAAGGAAATAGCGGCTCCGGTCTAGAAAACCGAAATTAACGGCCGTGGGGATCCGCTGCGCCAATCACGCGACACCATCTATCCACTAAAGATATCACTAACTTCGCCGACAAGCGGCGGTCGCTCGGTCGGTATAGTTTGCTTGTGGACTCAAGCCAAGGAGTTTTCTTATCAAATACTGTCAAATGGAAAAAAGTAGGATGGTCTTTTGGGGAGGTGAGTGCGGTATTTAACTATGTATCCAGTCTAGAGACTTTATAGGTTGTTCGAGCCGTGAGTCAGAATAATATGGTCACGAGTTTCGCGGGACCCGGAACCAAGAATGACTGCGCTGACGAGAGCCAGAAGCAATTTACCCAACCGACCGGATCTATACAGTTTCAATTCGTGGGGTGGTTGATAAATTTGAAATGATTTGGAAGGAATCAATCCCGACGTACAGGATGTACTATTCCATCACTTATAGAGAGTAACTGAGGAAAACGACATACCTGAGTAAGAATAGCTAGAAATACGGGTAATATTCGAAACAAGCACCCCCCCCAACACAAATATAGAGCGTTACCTCTGGAGAAATATCAATATCTCCTGGGATATAACGTCGTGTAGTGAAAGTCACCCGATGTTTCGATTGAATATGTCGCCTCCAACTTCAGGATTGAAGAATAAACCAAGAAGAAGGGAAAATATTAGATTATATAGAAACAGAAGGGACACTGGAAGCCAATCCGCATGTGACCAACGGACTACACGGCGTCATATGCCAGAGAACAGAACTCTTCAAAGAAAATTTAAATTTAAAACGTAATGCTGGCAATCGAAAAGTTACAAGCTTCTGTGTGTCTGTGTTTCACACGACACAGAATGTTCTCATAGTTCACGCTCCGGATGTGTTACCCCTCGGGGTGAGTTGATTGTGCCCCTAGGAGGGGGACGTCGAGTGGGTCTACACGAGCGAAAATACAGAACGTGGTTCATGCAACACGCTACATCGGGCTTCATGAACAAGCGGTCTACATCGGGTACTGACGTGTCACCCCAGTAATTCTGAATTTTAGCAGCACTCGCAAATACGTAATAGGGGCACGCGGTAATGGAGAGGGTTGAGGCACTATGCTACAAGCCCGAAGGTCGCCCTTCGATTCCCGATGTGTTCAATGCATTTTTCAATTCACCTAATCCCTCCAGCCGCACTATGACCCTGGAGTCGACTCAGCCTCAAACAGAAATGAGTACCACGAATCTTCCTGGGGGGTAAAGAGCGGCCGGCGCGTAAGGCTGACAACCTCACCGCCATCTGTGAGCCGACTGTCTAGAACATGTGGGAGCCTCGACGTCTCACAACCCTATGGGCCCCCACGGCCTGTTACAGCTTTCATACAGTCGGTAAACAACCAATGAGACAATGCCTATTCGCGAAAACGAAATAATGCAATAGACGCTATAGGACTATGCTACATCTTGTGCGATAGGACCTCGCGGCCACCGACCGCTGTGACAACCTCAAGTCTAGGATGTAATACAGGACTACTGTCCTATGTGGGATTTTAGTTTTCGACGGTTGTGCTTCGAAACGTCAGTACCTCATCCACCGAACTTAACGGCGTAAAACCCCAGTAGGCCGTAATCTCAACAGCGCCAAAAGAAGCTGAAATCCCAAAACAGAAATATCATTCCCAAAATCCAACTGTAGTTCCCTGCTACTGGGAGCAAACAGGAAGTTGTGACCACGTGTGGCGGTGGGAAGGGTTGAGCGTTTTGTTACGAACTGGGTAGAAGGGAAGATGATGAGTGGGGGGAAGAGGGGAGGGGGAAAGGGACGGGGCAGCCGTTGCTTGTTATTGATTTACTGCAGTTCTGGGTATGTTCTATATATACATTTCAACATGGTTTCAGTAGTATTGCCGGAAAGTTATACAGACAAAAGGAGAGGCGTAACCGCAGAATATAGCAGCTATAAGCCGACACGTCTCAGTCGGTAATGCGACGGGCTACAGACTGGACGTCTGGAGTTCGATTCCCTGCAGGGGCAAGAGGGCAGTCTCTTCTCCACAGTGTCCGGACCGGCTCTAGGGCCCACCCAGCCTCCTATCCAATGGGTACCGTGGCTCTTTCCACTACGGTAAAGCGGCCGGCGCGTGATGCTGAAGATCTAGTGCCGAGGTCAAGAATGGTGTAGCCACACCTCTACTCCCCCCTACATATTCATGGAATAGTACGTAAGTAAGCAAGGGAATTTTTCTTTCGCCCGCCTAGGGATTCCGTCTCTCCCATAAATTTCCCCTAGGACCGACCTGCCTATTCAGTTCGTACGTAAGTGGCACATGCGCGTATATAACGATTACGTCATTATTCCAGTCAAAGCAAAAACTGTCCCCATGCTCAGTTAATCACCGCGGAATAGAGATAATGTCGGAAGGCAAAGAGGTTAATAAGACTGAGGTCTTGGCCGCGCCATAGCTCAAGCGGTTAGTCGCTGGCGTCCCACCGCGGGGGGCCCGGGTTCGATCCCGGGGTCTGGTCAAGTGGGATTTGTGGTGGACGAAGTGGTGCTAGGGCAGATTTTCTCCGACTAATTCGGTTTCCCCTGACAATCTTCATTCTACCAACTGCTCCACAATCACCCTCACCTATCATCTGGGGCTGGTACAATAGGCCAGAAGTGGCCGCAGTACAAGGGACTTAGTCCCACCCCACTAGCAATAAAAAGTAAATAATTAACTAATAAACTAATTAAGCATTACACCATGAAGGCGTTTGGAAAAGTGAGCATATTGATCCACATTATCTTGACCTTGTCACTAGCTGAAGGTGAGTGGTCGGCTTCACGCCCCGGCCGTTTTACCTTCGCGGAAACAGTCCCCGGTACCCACTGGATAGGAGGTTGGGAGGGTCCCAGCGGCAGTCTCGACGACGTGGAGAAGACAAATTTGTTGATCCCACCGGGACTCGAACTCCGACCTCTTGGTCGTCCAGCCCGAGTAGGCGAGTAGTTTTTCCCAGTTAGTTGTATTATTATTTACGATTAATTAAGTTATAATTAGTACATCAAAACCGCGACTAAGAAGTTATTTTGTTTAAAGTAAGTGGCAC